GTGACTTAAGTAAAAACCATCCAATACAGAGTCTCAGATAGTAATTTATATCTATGCACAACGAAAAGCGGAATTTCTCCCGCCCAAAACTGATTTAATATCGACTTTGTGCGAAAGTTTTAGACAAATTAGCAAGGCAGGACCGAAGCTTCGTTGCAATTTGCAGCTCTCAACAGGATGTTCTGGCGAAGGTGGTGCTGGAAAATCCCTTAAGCCCCAGAATTGCTTATGCCAAATGCAGGGCGGAGAACAAATTGAACAAGAGTTTCTGCTTCCTGTTCCCTGCGGTCGGATGTCTTCAACTGCAGCTCTGCATCTTAAATGAATGCTGAGGGAGTGCTGAGCTAACTGCAAAAGTTCTGACCAAAAAAAAAAAAAAAACTGGGGAAAACAACCAGAACAAGCGGTAATTAATTACATTTTATTTAAGTTTTCCCTGGCCGTTGGGACGATTGATTAATTCGTGTGCGCATATTTGGTGCTTCATCTGTTTGCCAGCCAGCGCGAAACTCGAGACAAAGTTCCACTTTAGCGCGGTGATCCAGAGTTTCCAGCAATCCATCTTACAATGTCTCGCTAATTGAATTGTTAAGCGCATTTGATGCGTTTGCTAAGTTGCTCTCAGGATGCAATTTTGCTGTGGATTTCGCGTCGGCGGGCGAGCAAACACTTGAGTTGGATGGCTGCTTGTCTGCAACAGGCAGCAATCTGCTGGGTTTTCCGGAAATGCTGGCTATAATTGTTTGCCCGCCGCCCAGGCACTTTTCCATCTCCAGACCGCCTTTATTCACTTTGTTGTTCTGCAACTGTGAGCAGCATCAACAACAATAAGGACATACATATGTTGCCTGCCTGCTTGTTCTGGCTTCTCTGTTTTAACAACTTCAAGTTTTCATGTTTTTCCATATATTTTTTTTTTTGCTTCCCTCTTTTATAGCTTTTTATTTTTTATTATTCAGCTGCACTGTTTTTTTTTTTTTATATTTTTTAGTTTGGTTCGCCAGATGTTGGCTTTGGCGTTCGTTATGTGGGTCACTCACTTTTTGCGTTGTTAACTCATTTGAATTGCACGTCAACAATTGTGAAAACAAAGCGAAAACTTTTGCCATTTGTTCGGGCAACAACAAACAGCATTCGACAGCAGCAACAACAAGAGCGATAAAAACAACAACACAGAGGATCCCGGAATGTAAAAGGGCTTAGGGATCTAAGCTCTATCTGCTAATTCTTAAGATAATCCCCCCGAGCTACGTAGATATATTTAATTGCATGGGAAAGTTTTCAATTGCGACAAGCAAATGCACTTCGGGGTTGCTTTAAAAAGTATTCATAAATCGTTGGATTGGGACTTCTCTTGGGGATGCAATTGCACTTGACTTCCTAAAACAATTAGTTAACCAACTTCTGGAGCTGGCTTACAACCTAATTTTACATAAGTAAAATAAATAAAGAAAATCGTTTAGTTATTTATATGGTTTATATAAGAATAAAACCATTTATACAGAATATGTCCAGTTGCTTTAAGTTATTTAATAGTTAGTTTAAATTTTATAAAGTTAATTAATAATTTTTTTTAAACTACATTAAAAAATGGTAAATAAGCCATTCAGATTTTATTAGTTTATAATATTATTACTTTTTGTGTGTGACAGGTAGTTTTTTACATCATTTTATTCGTTTTATTTATTTTTCAATGATCGCTAGAGAAGAACCTCTTTCGATATATCCCATCCGTACATCGACTTAGGTGCTATCGTACATCTATCGATACATCATTACTTAAAACATCATGTTTTTGTTAATTTATCTTTATTTTTATTTAAATTTTTTTGTTTAATTCTTATTTATTTATTTGTATTTAAAGGAATTTCAAATGTTTTCCTTTAAAAAATCGCTGCATTAAACATCAACTGTTGGCAATTTTGCCTGACACAGCAGGTGGTCGACAACTTATGGCAGCATTTTCCATAAATAAACGAGTTGATTTCCTGTGGTCCTCATAAACTTGTCATTCCACTTCCATTCGGTAGGTCTCACATTTCGCTCCTTCTGCCATTTTCTTGCAAGTGAACTCGGCTAATTTACTTGGCTTGTTTCCTCCCTTCCCGCCATATCCACGGACTTGTGGGATCGGGCAAGTTTATATTCATTAAACTTCCGCCACATTTTGCGCTTTATATTTTGGCGCTTTCAAATGTCGGCCCGGGACACTCGACTGAAGAATTTACCCTCACCGCCCCGAAGAGTGTGCGGTTAGTTTTGGCCGGAAAGTTTATGCTTTTGTATTTCCGCCGGGGCTGGGCAACAGTTTTACCCACTTCCTCTTGGTTTTTCTTTTTTTTTCTCCTTTGGGCGACTTCATCTTGGGCCGGAAAAGTGCACTTTCGAAATTTGCGCTGCATTGAGGCTTTCTTTTCTTCGGTCCGTTTCAAAGTAAAGTTAAGAAATGAGCATGTTTAACTTTTTGGCAGGCAAAGGAGCATAAGACAGCCGACCGAAAACAAGAAAAAATTCTTGTTTGCAGACTTCAATTTCCCATCTCCGCCTCCCGTTTCGATGCAAGAAAGCAGCAGCTGCCGTTTGAGCAGGAGCTGCATAAATTTGCATAAATTGCGTAAAACGGGGATTATAGAGCTGGCAAAATGACTTAAAGCCGGCAAGCCTGACGCTAATTTCCCTGACCTCAATTCTCTTTTTTCCCCCGAAAGCACTGGCCAGCAAATTGTTTCGAAATCAAAAAAAAAATTGGATGATGGGAAAAAAACAACGTAAAAAATAAAAAATCTTGTGCGTAGGGCTTTGTATGGCATTCGGATTATTTGATTTATTACAGAACATTTTTTTAAAATATTAAATAAATAGTATTTACTAGAATACCCTTACTATGTGGCGAATATGCCAGAAACAGCATTTTCTAGATCTTTGGTAACACTAAAGTGTGAACCACGAGTTTAATCTGATCACGTAAGCTGTGGCTGGTTGTGCTGAGCTAGGAAAAACAATATAATAATAATTAAAGGCAAAGTAACACTGACTTAATTATTTAATCGTGGAGTCCCAATATTTCATTATTTCTTAGTACGTTGTATTAAAATATTCTGTAAAAATACATTTTTAAAAGTATTTCAAATCTTTTTCCCAGTGATCTCCACCCAATTTTATTCATATTCAAGCACGCCAGTTGGCTGGCAATTGATTTGGCCAGCTTGTGCCGGCTTACGGGTTTACGACAAAACCACCAATAACCCATCAAAGTCCAAACAGGCGATTTGTATGCGGTACTCAGCGCCAGAGCGAAGCAATTGAGTCACTAATTACTTTGCCTTGGCTTTAATCGTTTGGGCAACGCAAAAGTGGATGCTCCTCCGACGGCCAACTGTCCATTAAAAGTCTCTTTCCAAGTGGGCCAAATTGTTAAAGTAAATTGTTAGAGGGGGCATGGGAACGGAGCTTAGCCATTACCCTTTATGGCATAAGCAATTAAATATTTAGGAGCCTGTCCGCGCCTTCGGCTCTTCATCAGATACAGAGATGTATTCATCACCGGCATCGAATTGAATAACAAGCGACTGTTGCGGCCGCTGTTTTTCAGTTTCCATTCCAACCAAAATTTGGCTGCTCAAGCCAAATCCCCCTTAATTATCTCTCTATCAAAATACAGATCTTTAGAGATTATTGATAGTTAATATATGTAGTTCAACGTCTGTCAAGTTAACGTAAAACTAATTTTTAACGAAAGTTTTATGATGAAATTTTGAACTAATATCGAATGTCAGCCTAGCGACTTTAAATCCATGGAATTGGCAGCAATCGATGGGGATTCTATCGAATCTATGAAAATAACATATGAGCCATCTCAGAGGAAACCTAGCTATATCTTATATCTCATTCCGAATTATTCATATCAAGGCCATGGAGCCTGTCCTCAAGGCTGTGACCCATGACGAAAAAGCTCCTCGGGCGGATTTGGGCCAGCTTTAGCTGCGTTAATTGGCCCGCCTGGGACGGCCTTTTGTTTGGTCTGGGCCCAAGTTAGCTAATGGCCAACTGTTTGAGCAGCGTTTGAGAATTTCCAGGCTTGGCGATTCTAATTGCTAAGATTTAGGCGCCACCTTGCCTGGAGCTCATCCAAATCTAGAGCAAAACCTTGGCAACAGCTAAGACCTCGGAATAGCAAATCTTTTTGAGTACAGCAGTAACAAAAGTAATGGGACAATTTTTGGATGGCTTTTTTACACCGCGTGAGATATTTATTATAAAGAACATTTTATGGAATCTAATTTTAAAAAAAGATTTTTCCTTTTGAATTTATATTCTTTTAAATATCACTTTTACTTCTTAAGTCCTCTTTGCAGTTTTTAATATGTAAATAAAAAAAACAAATAGAAACATACAAGAATGTTAAGGAAGATAAAATAGTATTTAACAAAAATATGAAATATCTTTTTAAATACTATATTAATAATTAATAAAAAACAAATAATAATACAATATAAATCAATTCAACCGCAGGGTGTTGCCTGTAAATCATAACCTAGTTTTACAAGCTTTCAAAACCATAATAATGTTATCAAAAGCATAACTTTCATGTAGATAGCTTCATTACCTCACCCAACCTTGTCAATCATTAAAAGTTGCTTCCTCATTTTTGGGAAACGAAACTTTATGTTAACCAAACCTAATTAAGTGGCCACAAAAACGACCGAAATGGCTGGAAAAGCGTACTCAGAGTTTTCGACAATGTCACAAGCTTTTAATAGCTATGGATTATGTTGGCAATGGGGATAATAATGCTATTGTGTGAGTGCGTGACATTGTTGCTGACATAAATAAACGAACAATTTTAATTGCCCTGCCAAGGACAAAATAAAAACAAATTTTAATAACCAACGAAGACGCTTCGAAATCTCCGCTTAAAAAATATGAAGAGACTGAAACTCAAGGCCGCGAAGTGAAAGTTCAATTTGTGTAAAATACATTGTGTGGCTTGGTTCTTTTAGCTCGGCGCTGAGTGCAAAATGATAGCTTGAGTTGAAAAAGCAAGATATTAAAGCCAACTACTATGAAAAACGCGCAGCGTTTTGATTTATGTGAATGCCATAAATGTGCAGAGCGCAAATTGCAAAAATACCTCAAAGGCAGCGGCGAAAGCGACAGCCACCACAGTAACTCATTAAAACTAGTGCAAGTCAACAAAGGCACAGGCAACCGGGAAAGCTGGAGAAAGCCGTGCTGGAGCTGCTAAACTTATCATTTTAATCACTGGAAATCGCGAAAAGGTGTCGCCGCAAAACACCTGGCAACAAAACATCGAGGCAAATTAATTGCTCAACGCTTTGCGACTTTCAGCAGTTTGTTCACTTGCAGCCGCTGAAATAGCTTTCCACCGCCATTGAAACTGCGTAGTTATGGTCGATCCATTAAAAATCTTTTGGGTCCTGACAAATAGCACCTATTTGGGTAAGTAGGCACGGCCATTCGTATACCCAGTAGCTGTAGTGTGTTTTCGTATGTGTAGCTACTTGTAAGTGCATATGATTATTTACTCATAAGTCCCAGCGTCGTTATGCTTATGTAAATGGTCTTGTGAAAATTTCATGAAGTGTAATTTGTTGGGGAGCCGAGAGTGAAAAGGCTCCGGGAATCTGAGTCTGCACGTGTGTACGTGAGGGATCCTGGCTAACGACACCTCGGGGGATGTGGCTGCTCCTTGGCTTAAATATGCATTCTCGTTTCCTGTTTCCTCCTAGCGTAATTTTCTTAGTTGATTTCCTCTTGCCATAATGAAGAAGGTAGCCGACACTTCTGCGGATAAATGGACACAAATAAAAAATGATATTTTGCACAGGTAAACTTGGTTGCTTCTATATAAAAGTGCTTAGGGATTTAAAGCAGAGAGCTCATTCAGTTAATATATTTAAATAGTATCTCAAAGATAATATATTATAGCATAGCAAACTATTTCGGGCTTACTATAACTAGTTATATAAGTATGTTTTTATTGATCGTTTTTTGTGTTTCATTTTTTAAAATTTTTACTTAAGACTTATTGTTTAAATATTATATTTTATAATATATACATGTATACATATTTTTTTAGTGCTTAAAAAAGTGAAAAGTAAAGATTTAAATCCATTATTTTGTTAAATTTTGTTAGTTAACTCGTTTTTAATTACCTAAGTACCTAATTTATCAGGGTCAAAATGCAGTTAAATTTCTTAATCTCATTAATTTAGTATTCATGAAATCTTATTTGTTTACTCTCCATTTGTTGTGACCCTTGCTTTCAAAACCCAAACAAAATGTTCCAAATATAAATTTAAATTTCAGTGAACCTAAATGATTTCTAATTGCAACTTTCCAGACTGGTTCGAAATTTTAAATTAATTTCTGATTAGGGTGACTTTTAAGTTCGGCCCAATGGCCATGACACCGCGCACATGGCGTATACGCAACATGGCTGAACTGATAAATGTGCAATTTCTACGCGAACCAGCTTTTTAATTGCGGATTTTGGTCTTGTGCCACCGCCACCCTTAACCCTGTCATCGCCGCGCAGTGGGAAAACCACCCCCCGTGGCGGATGTGGGTCGTAATTAACACGCCAGTGGACCGTCCTCTGTTAGTTAATGAACAGCCGGCTGTGGGAGCTATGAGAACCAGGCCCATAAACAAGGTCTCCACCTCACCGTGTCTTCTTGCCCGAGAACTCATTATGACTGACAAAATATTTGTCAACTCATCAACGCTGTGGTGGGGGGGCTTGAGAAAAGCGCCATATTTTTTTATATCGGTACACTGTCTGCCCCTTTTTTTTCGGTTTTTACGGATTATTTTGTTTTGCTGTTTGACGCTTTGTTTGTCACTGCCCACCGCGCACACTTTTTAATTAGTCCCGGCCGAAAGGAAACTCACAGGAATTTTAATGCGCCTCAAAATGTTGGCAGCGAAGAAATAAAAACACCTCTTCTTAACATTTCATAAGTTTAATTAACAATTTTTTCGTGTTGCCTAACTCGCGCCAAAGCCAAGGGGATAAAGCTGAAGTGCAGGTCACTTCCTGCATCGGATGTTGGTAACGATGATCATCATCATCGGGTCGGCTAATGAATACAAATATTCCGCGCTCTTGGACCCGGTTTTAATTGAAATTTCAGGCCAACAAAGAGGCTCAAGCCAAGGGCCCCGAAAAAATTCTCGTTGGCCATCATCAAAGTTAATGAGCTGCCTGCCACTGGATACCAAAAAAAAAGAAAAAGATTGGAATTGAATACATGGCCGACTGGCCCAAAGGGTACTATTTGAATTTCGAGGGGTTCAACGAGTTCATTAAAGGGATTTAATTGTACTTTTTTCCGAAAGAGATTTATCTGTCCAAGATTTTTTCATTGTGAGATTTGTTTGTATGCTTAATCAGCAAAGAAAAAATCAAATGAATGGTTTATTTCAGTAAAATAAGTAATTCCACTTACCTATAATAAATCAGAAATTAAAAAAATTTAAAAGTTGTCAACCGAATCATTGTTTTTTATACTAATTAGTTAATGGACATTATTATTTATAACCGAATGTCAAATGTCAGCAGCAGTTGTTACCAAGATCAAAGAGCACCCACCGCAGCGATAAATTAATGGTAAAACTAATTACGAAACTCCCACGACCCCGATCATATATGTCAGAAGTCAAATGGGCTGCCATTATGGGAATGCCTCGGCTGACAAATCCAGCGAAACAAAGCTGAACCCTTGGCTTTGTGCATACATCAACATAATGGGCGTGCAAAAACTGTCAGCCAGTTTAAACTTTTGCCACACGGATATCACGCATACGCACTGTTTGCCGTCCTTCCTGTTCCGTTAAACTAATAACAACTTTTACACGCACAATTGGGGGGTATTTTCCGCTGTAGCCCCACCATCGATCTCCGTCAATATTTGTTTAGACTGCGGGAAAGCGAAAACTTTTTTGCATATTACACAGAAAAGCAGTGGCGAAAACTTAATCCAACATACATTGGTAAACACAACATGAGATTATCATAAACTTACTTACAATTTATTGTTTTTTGCGGTTCTGTATAAACTAAGCCCCGTTAAACGCCTTGAGGATTAAAATCCAGCCGCACAAACATTATCGTTATTTATGCGCACTCCACTTCTGTACATTTTCGACTGTGTTTATTTATCTGTTTGTTTGCTTTGTTGTCAAGCGCTTCGCCCTGAAAACTAATTAGCAAATTAAAACTTGTAATTTATTTATTTGCGGCATAACTGTGAAGGCATTTGTTTAACTAGATTTTCCAGCAACCCGAATTATGCCGAGGGGCAGCATACACCACCCGAGGTAACTAATAAGACAGTTTTGGTTTTCTTTGTATGCTAATATCCTTTGAAGTTTGTGGCTGAGACTTAATGAGTTAAATGGGGGTATCCTTGTGTTTAAGCTGATTTTTCTTGCCAAGAGCAACATTAAATTATGTATCTATTTGAGTAAAAACTACATCTTAAATGGCTGAAATGTTATTTGATTTTAAACAGCCTGTAAAAGCTATAAACATTTTCAAGGATAGGTTACAACATGGATATTTAAGGTACTTAAATAAAAATAAATTAGCAGTTAAATAATAAATATTCTATAAAGTGTGCCAAGTGTTCTTATACACAACACAACATTTTTTTAAATTCCCCTAATTGTAGAATGAATTAGCCTTGATAAGTGTAGGTATAAAACAAATATATAGTTATATTATTTGTGTGAAGAGGTGTCATTAAACACCAATTATTTTTTAAATTTATTAAATACGTTCATATTTAATTTATAATCCCTTTGAAGTGCTTAAATTATTTTGCTCTTCAACAAGGCGAATGCAATCAATAAATAATATAAAACCAATATTTTAGGTATTATATTATTATACGTGACGTGAAAATTGATCCATCGAAGAGCGAATATTAAATATAATAGCAGAGCAAGGGCGTAGGAAAATGCCACCCAAAAGTAGGATAATCTAGACCCAGCGAAACCCTGCAGCTTTTGAGTCGTCAAAGGGAAAGGCCCCACACTTTTTCCCCCTCCATCCTGTCATTTTTAATGTGATGCGCTTTGTTGCCTTTTGGAAAATGTAGCTTCCTCCTTTTTTTTTCAGCTCCGCAAAAACTACTTTGACTATCTCTGGCTTTGCGAAAGAGTCTGCGTCTCTGTATCTGTGTATCTGTGTGTTTGCCATGGCTGATTTGAACAGCTCTGACATTTGACGCCACTTTGCACACACATTTCTCCCTTTCCACCGCCCCTTTTATTTATTTTGCTTTGCTGAACAAAAAGGCTAAAAAATAGGAACAACAAAAACGAATTCTAAAGCAGCATATAAAATAGAGAAATGTTTACGGGGGGTGCAAAAAAACGAGGGAAAAAAAGAAAGGAGTAGTGCCAGCTGCCAGTCATTCATGGACTGACATATGGCTCACCAGCAGGTGGGCGGCGGTGCGGGCAGGGGGCGTGGCCGGGCTTGTTAGTGTGCCAGTTATGCGGCCATAAATAGCTGACGGCAGCTCACCTGCCACTGCCCTCGGGCCACGCCCCCATGCCCCAACGCCCCCTTTCAGCCTCCAACAGAACGTTAATAGTTTAAAGTGAGCCTTTTCACTGCCCCTCCGCCGAATGGTGGGAAAAATGGGGGAAAAATGGTGGAAAAGCGGAAAAACTGGCTGATGACTAGGGCGCAGTTCACTTTGCTGCTCAATTTAACACCAACAAAAAAGGCAGCCACTTTAACCAAACAGCAGCACAGCTTTTCTACGGGGTACATCAAGGGATTCAAGAAATACGAAAATATTGAGGGAGGAGCAGTTTAGAACTTGGGAAAAATCGACATTAAAAGGATTTGATCTTTTGAGTTATTTATGATACAAAGAATATTAATTTTTTAGATTTGTTTTTTAATAAAATAATCATTTTCTAAAAACTGCATTTACTGTTTTACAAAAGAATAACTTTGGATTTAATTTATCTGAATTTTAAAAATATCACAAAATTATCTATATTTTATATTAATAATTACTATTATTTAGTATATCTTAAATATGTTTACACCTATAGAAATAATTGACGATTTATGTTTTCTGGCTTTAGATTCCCTTGCAACTAGGTAACTCTCTATCAGCTAGTACTACCAAGTCCATTCGCTGGCCAGGATTTCCGTTTACCTGGCCATAATGCCAGAGTGCCAAGAAATTAAGTCAAGATAGCTGAGAGCCAAAGGTAAAAGCTGAACGAAATGCAATTTCAACTGCCAGTAATGTTTGTTCATCGTGTTTGCGGGTGTGTTTGTATTTATTCAGTGTATTGTAGCTGCACACATTCGCTGAGGTCCTTGGAGTTTTCCAACATAAACGCTTTCCACTCATTTTGCTTTTCCTTCTTTTTCGGCGTCTTATTTATACGAGCTTTTCGCCCGAGCTGATGCCTTGGAAAAACGAGTGTGCGTATTTATTTTGCTCATTTCTCATTTTCTTTCATTTTCTGTGCCAAAAAGGGACCATATTACGTGCTAGAGTTACCTGCAAACTAAATAAAGCAAAGGGCTAAATTCTAAATTAGATTCTATTTGTCTTAACCCACACTTGAGTATAAAAGACCTGAAAGGCAAGGAGTTCATTCATTTTTTCACTTCTCTTTTCAATGAAAGGAATTTTCAAGTTTGACATGAGCATTCACACGAATGAATGATGTGTGTGAGTGGAGATTTCTAAGCGGCCTTGCCATAAACACACTTCACCGACAAAGGGTGAAAGCATATTGCATTTCTAATTTTCTCTCGAATATTTAATTAATTTTTCTAAACTTTTCTTTGCCAGAAAAGTTTTGACAAAATTCAATTAAGTTACAAGCAAGGCAAGCTAAGCAAACAAAGCCAAACAGATTAAACAGTTTAACAGATTCTGCAATGCATTTGGCAGAGTTTGGCCCAGTCAAATATCGAAAGTTTGCTCAACACTTCCGCTTGGCTGCCAAAAATTGTATATCCAATTTATGTCATCTGCCGAAAAATTGCAAAAGAATACCAAGGCAATCATAGCCAGAACCTTGCCTTGTTTACATAAAGTTTAAGAGATAAATAAATTGCACTTTTACGAAATACTACAGCCATATTTTTCTTGGTAAAATTGCAATATTTTTAAAGCAGCTTTAAAACGATTAACGATTGCAAAGAGTTGAGTGCATTTAATACAATGCTTTTGCAGCCGATAGGCTTGCCCCAGCAACTGTCGTCTTTTCAATATTACGTATACGCAATGGGCGCCTGCTGGCCATATTACTTCCTCCTTTTTCCGTCCACTCTCCTTTGCAATGTGTGAATGCCGGACTGAAACACTTTGCTCTTGCTGTTAAAGAACATTTACTCTTGTTGAAAATACACATTTTATCGTACTTATATTTATGCCCAAGTTGGGCCAGCTATCTGTTCTTTTTTGTAAAAGCAGATTATTACTTCCTTCGCATGGGAACCGATACAAAAACAGAGGAAAGGACCATCCCGAGGCCCTCTTGGGAAAATTGAACATTTAAAACACTTTGTTAGTTATGTTGACAAAAAGATGGTTCTTGAAAATCTGCAGGCAGTGAACAGGAACTTAATTATTTAGGGAAAACTTAAAAGCTTGAAAGGATTTCTATGGTGATGGAACGACTATTGGGCGGATTTCATATTTTTCGAAAAACAATTGTCAGGCTTACCAAACTTTATAAAGTTTCTCTGTGGGGGGGGGGGGGAGCTGGCAAAAATCCACGCTTATTTGTGAAGTGCAGTTTCCTTCCGTATTTGCCTTGGGGTCCCCTGCTCGAATAAAACTCATTAACGCACGTTCCCGCTCCGAAAACTAAACTACACAACTATCCAGAAAGTTTTGTTTGGCAAGACATTAGCAGGAAATAAGCAAATAAGCGGGGCAAACAAACGCTGCTGCATTTTACGAAGGGAGCGGCGGAAAACCTTCAATTCGCTGTGCACTTTGTGAAAACTTATTTTGCTTTCGACTGCAAAAGGGGGACAAAAACTTTTCACTCTGAGTAGATGGTTTTGCGATTTTTGTTGGGTTCTAGTTGTGCAGCATATTCTCATAGTTCGCTCTATTTGAGCGACGACTTTGTCTGGTTTGGCAAAGGGATAACATGCACACAATCTATCTAACAGCCGAGGAACTTTCGGGAATCAAGAATGTATTCACTATTAAAAATAAAAATAGGACTGCACAAAAACAGCTGACATCAAATTGGTTAAAAGCATGACATATTTAGTACAAATTTTATTTTTTAATTAGAAATATTATTTTACTTGAAGATATACTTTTAAAATTGTAATTTTTAACTTATGTTTTGTATGTTTGATGTATTATCCAAGAAAATCTGAAATTTGTCTGTGTATGGGAACTAGTTGGTGGGATTTCCCTCTTTTATGCCTGCCACGTTTTGGACATAAACGAATAAGTTTACGACTCCGCAAAGCAGGCACGCGCCCCATTTGTCAATCAATAAATTTGCCATAATTAATGCTACTTATTGGCATTTCATACACTAACAGCATGCAACCAACAAACCAATCTATTTATATACAAATAGTACGTGTATCTATATCATGGCTTGCCTTCTTTTTTCTCATTTGCAGTTACAAAATTTGTACGCATTGGTATTGCCGACAAAAACGATTCACCGCCATATTTCGATAGATTTCTGTACGAGACTGAAATCGATGAAAATGCCGATTTGCAGAGCACAGTCCTCACTGTCAACGCCAAGGATCACGATGAGTGTGAGTAACAACCCAAGCTCCAGACATAAACAATAAGCCATCCCTTCATCTAGTTTAATGTGCTCTTGTCCTTCTATTAAATTGGATTTCTGTCCGAGCTATGGGCATTCGTACTTAATCGCTCGAGCAAAAGAATATATATCGCATAAATTGCCAATTGATTTAATTAAGTGTGTCTTTAATTGCAATTGTCAAGGGAGAGTGTGTGTGCGTATGCTTGTGTCACAACGATTTGCATTTGAAAGATATTAGGATGTAGACAGCTGCTTCAGGGATTGAAAGTCAGTGAACTTTAAGTAAATATGTATGCAAGAACTGTTTGAGCAATTAGGCACAAATAACTGGTAATTTGTTTTAAACATAGTTATTTAAAATAGCAATGTAACTTCTATCTACATCTTAGCTTTTACTAATTTGCCTACATTATTTGTTAATTTAAGAAAACATGTTAAGTTCCATGCCATTCGCAAATGGTAAACAAATTTGTAAAAGTCAACAAAATACATTTAAATAAAGAAAACAGCTTAATTGTTTAATATTTAATTAACTAAAAGTATAGAATGGTTTTCATGAATATTTTAGTTGTACATAAGGTAGAAACAATTAACTGGAAATATATTTTATTCGCAAAGATTTTTTGATTTCCTGCGTATTGATTTTACTAAACGAATTTTAGCAATTAAGTTACTTAGTGAACTGTGAAATTATGAACAAATGCTTTGAACCACATACTCACAAATGACTCAACGAATCATAAAAAAAACTGAATTAAGCTAAGCAAGAAACTCGTATGTAAATAAAATGGGCATTGATAACTAAATCCGGAATTGATTTACCTCCTTTAGTTACGTAAAAGCAATAACATAGTCATCGGAGAATAATTGCTTGCATGATTTTTGCCAACTCATGCGACAACGACATTTTCAGTCAGTTTCAGTCATGAATTCTACGACTTCCTTCCATAAAGCACACAAAAAATGTTTGCGGGAAAATATATATACGATGTCATAAACATTTAGAAAAACCAATTTGGCCATTTCCCTCATGGGGACACAGACAAAATTTATGCATAAATATTAAAGCGTCGATTCAGAATATTTTCCCAAACACGCGGTCATAATAGACATTTACAACATTTATTTATTTTAATACTTCGCAATATATGTGTGCGAGTGTGCAGCCATTGCCAAATATTATTAGGCAGCGGCCATGTACCGCAAATATTTACGAAATATTAACAAATAAAGGCCCATTGTTGCCAAAGATACACAGCGAAAGATACAGCTCAGAGTCATGCATAAATCCATAAAATCCGAAGACAAACACAAATGAAGAGCAAGTGAGCATCTAATATGCGTATTTGTATATCTCTCTATTGATTCCCATGCGGAAATTATTATTGTTAATACAGCGAGGGATGGGATGGGGAAAGTTCTTCTGCGGCTCTTCGCGACAGATACGCTTTGCAGCACGAAAAACATTCAAAATCTCATTGAAAGCGTTTAACAACTTTTTCCCAACCGATGGAAGCGTCCAACTTGCGGGTAGAACTTTGTCTTTTCTTGGCTCAGTCTCCCCAACAGCAACAGCTCGCAAAGGACATCCGAGAAAACTGCGAGTCCTTGTTGTCGCCGGCGCGACGACTGCGAAAAAAGCATTAACCCGAATTGGAAAAAAGCAGAGCAGCTCGCACAACAACAAGACAGTGCTACAAAATCATTTTTTGCATAAAACTTGTATAATATTGCTCGAGTAAAATTTAGTTAGGGTGAATATTACAGTAAAAATATATTTTTTGAAGAGCAGAAATAGTCCAAAAATATTTTCTGTATATAAGAAATTTGCCAATTCGATTAAAAACTCTATTTTTAAAACAAAATACACTCATTTAAAATGAAATAATCGTAAATACTAAAAACAAAATATATTTATTGGAAAAACAATATATAATATCCAATTTCAACAAAAAACAAAAATAGTAAACTCAATTTAGAATCTTATTTTTAAATCAAAGAAATCTTTGATTTATTTTTTTTTAATTTTAAAGTCTTCTCCAGATTTAACAGTTTTAATTTTTAGGGACCATCAATCGAGGTGTACTTAAAACAGATGTATGTAGGTTCTTCAAGGTGAAATAAAATCTTTTTAATTTTCTCAATAAATGGCAAGAAAACCTTCCATATTTCCTAGTAAAAATAATATGCAGCCCAGTGTAATCTCCCTAGGAAAAGGAAAACGGAGCCGGCAAACGGAAAAATAAATGGGCACACGAAAATTTTGAACTACTCGACGAAGGGAGCGGATTTCAATTCCATGTGTGAGTCGCATAGAATATGAATTGAAGGCTGAGACTAACGAAACAGGGTCAGGACAAATCTTTTATGCGATTCCTTGCGTTGCCATGTTTGTCTCTACTTAGAAATACGAATGGAGCTGTAAAACTTTTGTGCCATTGCGGGCCACATTGCGAATTTATGACCGAAAAGATTATTTATTTGAGTGTGCGCGAGTGGTTGCCATGTGTTGGCCAAATGTTTTCACATTCGAACCAGTTTGAAGTTCGAAGTAGAACTCCTTCTGGCCCAATACAAACGATGCTCATTTATTTCCCTGGCATCCCATTGCTTTAAGAGCTCATTTTTAAAGACCCCAGCAAGGAGGTGGTCGCGAAACAAACAAGAAGTCTGACAACCTTTCGGTGTGTGCCATAAAAACACTTAGCCCCACACCCCAACCTTCAAATAAAATGCAAAAAAAAGCACATGAAGACCTAGAAAGATCAAAAAGCAGGGCAAAAAGCAAGAATGTTTTCCCCACCACTTTCTAAAATGACTTTTCATGCTAAATAAGTACACAGTGGATCTGAGGGGCAGGGAGAAAGACTTTTACTGCCTTGGCTGCTCCCATGTGTGCCTGGGTCTCTGGTGTCTGTATATTAATTTATTATCATTATCAGTGATTTAAAAATGGCGTCATGACATCGTAAATTGTAAACGTCATTGTTTAAGACTGGGGACTACTTAACAAGACTCGCCTGAGCTACTCTCAATGTTCCTGTTGGTGTTATTGCCACAGTTTGGGTGAAAACATAAGAAACGACCAAAAACAAGAATAAGTAGATGTTTTGGCGAGAGCGCATTTTATAGGTTTTCTTCAAGCGCTGAGTGATAATTTAAGTGAAGAAAAAAATGTAAATAAATATTTTCAGCGAGGGGCTGTTTTAAAAACCATAAGGCTAAACAGTTGAGCTGCTGACATTATACAGTAGGCATAAAACTAATTTTGATTTATTTCTCTAACACATGGTCAGTTCGTTTTAGAAATCAAAGTGAACAGACCCAAAATATATCAACCATATTTCAATCAAAAAAAGTATAAAAAGATTTCAGAGCCATGAATTGCGTATCCCTTAAGCGTTCATTACCATTGGAGGACGATCAGCAGGATACTTTTTCCGCAAAACGAAGACGCCAGGAGAGGAAATCAACAAAATTACCATCCCTTAAGCGCCGCCTATATTTCGAGGACGATTCGACTATATTTTTTCAGGCAAAACGAAAATACAATCCAAAAGATACACCCAAAAAGGACAAGCATTCAATGGTTCCAGAAGATTTTTTAAAAGGTTTACCCGTACTGCTGGATACCGATTCAAGTGATTCGGAAGTTGATTTCCAGTTATCGCAGATCCATACAACAAAGAAGATCATTAAAGATAATACAAATCTATTTAGCTTTCAACAATTGCATTCCATTTGCGCCGGAATGATGAAGCAATGTGAAGACAGAGTTCGGGAGGAATATGAAGTGGCTTTGACCCAGAAAATGGCAGAGCAATATGATACATTTATCAAGTTCACTCACGATCAAATGCAGCGAGAAAGTGGAATAAGTACCAGTTATTTGACGTGATTGTCTAAAAATGTTGATAGATTTTTAAGTTGTGGAGAAATTTGTTAATGAAATTATTTATGTTAATAAAAGATTATAGTTCCTTTATGCAAAATCCTGTTATCCGAAAGTATTCAGATTGTGGTAAAATTGGCAATACATGTGGCACAAGAAAAAATGTTCGTTAAACATCCCTTTCTAAATTCATTTAAAAATCAGCTTTACAAATAAATATGTTTTCAAGAACTTTTCATCCAGCTCTCCAGCTAAGTACTTAATTGCGCAGAAAGCTGTTAGGGTCCACAAACAGCAAAAGCCAAATGTGGCCAACTTTTAATGCCTCAGAACTCCAGCTTCCTGACATCCTGCTCATCCAGTCCCCTGCCATCTTTAGCTAGTAGAGCAGGTTAAGCGATTTACGCGTCGCTAATTTACGCTAATGTTTGCCTTTCACATTTCCGCATAAATGCACAGACAATGTGGCTACATCAGACCCTGGTTTTCCGCCCATTCCCCCATTCTGTGCCCCATTTTCCACAGACGAGTTCCCTTCAGACGTGTCCTGGTTGTCACATATGAGAGCATTTCCATATTTCGCCAGCGAAGACAACACTTTCGCAGGCTGTTTAAACACGAAATAAGTAAATTATATGGCATCCTGTTGTGCCTGGCATTCTCGTGAAACATTGGGGCCATGTCCTTGTGTTCTCTCCCGTGGGTGCAAAATGTTTTTTAATGGACTTAATTACTTCAGCTGCCTCCTTGGCTGCCGCTTTTTCGTCTCTTTGACTTTGTTCATGGTTTTTTTGGTCTTGGGGCACGTTAAGAAAATTTAGTTGGTAGGTATTCCAATTCCTTATGGGGATATAGAAAAGCAAAGTTTGTTTAAAATTGTTATGATACCAAAAGTTAAGAAAATGATTGATTTAAATTAAGATAATAATTAAAAACCATGTCAATATATGATGTACTTTTATACTACTGTACTGCAGTATTTATTATTCTTAAGAAATAAAAAATAAAACAGAACACGATTTTAAAAAAAAAGTTATATTTACATAAGAATGCATAATAACCTTTCTAAACTAAACTTTTGCAACATTTTATACACCCAATTAACAAAGATTCCTACCAGTTTGATAACACTGTAGCCATGACATTAACTCTACCCTCTGACAACCCTGTTCAGCTTCTTTTTAATACTTAATAGAGCGAAATTTGATTAATTGCAATTACGCGTACGCCGGGTGCGCCCCTTGCCCTTAATAAATCAATTTAATTACCCCCTTGAATTACCTTTAATCTCTTTTAACATCATACCCTCATTACCTCTTTGCAGCGACGAATATTCGATACCAGATCACAGGCGGTAACATAGGCAATGCCTTCGCCGTACAAAATACCACCGGTGTCATTTACGTGGCAAGTCCACTCGACTACGAAACGCGGCCAAGGGTAAGTAGTCGACTGCTCAGGGACTGTCTACAACTGCTGACAGGCTCATTTCAACTGAATTACTAGTCTCAACTGAAAGAAAAATATCTTTTACATTTAAAATTAATTTTTATGGTAACTGAGTAAATATTTAAACATTTTGTTGACAACATACGACATTTAAAATTTTTTTTATATTACTCATTTTTATTTTTATCAGTAAAATTTTAAATTTAAATTAAAACAAGAGCATTTGTATATTTTTAAGCAAGAAAAACTCATAAAAATTGCATATACATTATTTATTTAATCCTTCGCATTTCTTCTTGTGTATCCACTTGTCTACAAGTTGATGCACATTTTTCTTAGTCCTATTTTTTAGCTCGGTCCTAACTTTCTGTTGCATGCATAATTTATATATTTTTCTGCTTTGGCGATGAACAACAAAAAAGGAAAATATGTAAAACTATGCAAAACTTTTTTGGGGGGTTTGCAAAACTTTCGACCAGGCAAGCCGAGGCGTATAAAAAAAAATTAATCCGAAAAAAGGAAAATTCGCTTACATGCAGAAAGCATTTTCATCTCAGAGAACCGGAGGGGTACAAGGGATATATGTAGATATAGACAGCTACAGCTGTCGTTACATTTCCCAATGCGCATTTTTAGCGTGATTGCTAACGCACTGTGTATCACTAAAAAAAAAAGGTAGAAGAACTATTTTGAAAAATATACAAACTCCAATAAAAAATGCAAAGTTGTACCGCAAAAATGTCTGTAAAAATAACGCCTTATAAAATGTGCACTTCTAAAAAATAATTCGAATATATAGAGTACTTTTAGTTCTTGAATAAAATAATTTGTTCAAAGTAATTTTTGTTTTATTTGATGAGAAGATATTTTATATGAAGAAAGCATACGGGTGGTTTTCTTTATAAATAAAATCACTAATAGTTTATAGATAAATTTTTAAATATTGAAAGCGTACAATTTTCGAAAGTTTTTCCACGTGCATGACTGACATCCAAGTAGAAATTCCCCAACATCCTGCATCCCGTAGTCATCACCTATACGCAACTTGTTTTGGCACCCCCACAGGACTGGAAATCCGTGTAGCTGTCAATTCCAGCCATGCAACAAGCTCTGCAGTGCCACAACGGCCAAAACAACAAGCCACAGCAGCCGGAACATGTGTTGCCAATTTCGTATTTCTACGCCACTTTTTTCCACTTTGTTTTGTTCTACCCGTTGAAAAAAGTTCCACTGACCATTCATGCGAATTTGGCTTTTGTTGGCCAAATTGCGACGGGACAGCCTCGTCGGCATCAGGCGCATTAAAAACGTCGGGCCGGAATAAATTTCCTTTGCTGATGGCATTTCTATTTTTTCGTTTCTCGAAAATTTCCGTTGGAAATATCCATAAATGTAGTTTTAACTTTTAAAACGTTTTTGCTAGATTAGGTAAAAACTTATTTGTGCATACACTTTTCTGCTTTTGACAGTTTAAATAAATTTTATTATATTATATGGACTTATTTAGTTACGATGCTTTGACGCGTGTCATATGTATTTATATTTATGAATATTTATTTATGAGATTTTACTTTCAAAACATTTGTTGAAAATATTAATAAAATAAATATTTATTTTTTCCAGTTCGAACTGCGCCTGGAGGCAACTCGAAATCGCAAAAACAATTACACCACCGTTGTGATCAACGTTCGCGATGTCAACGATAATCCACCGGTTTTCGATCGTCAAACATATCGCACACAAATCACTGAGGAAGACGATCGCAATTTGCCCAAACGCATACTGCAGGTTAGTTTTCGGTTTTTAAGTGGCCTACTTTTCAGGGCAACACTCAATGCCTTTTTTTGACTTTCCCAACTTAAATATTGATACCAGCAGCGGCAAAAGAAAACAATGTTGTATGCAATACTCACAATTTGCACATAAAGCCAAAAAAATTAACAATAAAAACGAGAGAAAGGCTGGCCGAAGGCAAACATCAGACAGTGAAACTTAAGTGGCGAATGTATGGTGGGTAGAAAAATGAGGAAAATGGGAAAAAAGTTGGAAGAAAAGTTCTTCACTCGCGTGGAGCAATTCAGCCGTAAATATAAATAAATACTCATTCATTAATAATAACGTGATAGTTTCGCAACGGCAGTAAAAAGCGCACACATACGCAAATATATACAACCACTTTATGAGTACGCATTCAGACATGCATATATGTAAGGAAAAACACTTACATATTTATAAATATATATTTGTACAGGCGACTCTTATTTATGCCATCATTTTCCAACATAAAGGCCAGAAAGGAGAAAGCCAAGTTTATGACCACATCAACATTTAAATACACTTTGACGGATGCATTATGGAAACTGCCATTTATAGATAAAAATGCGGGACATGGTTGGATAAACAGGAAAAAAGTAATGTTGGCAGGCACTTAAAAATCAGGCAATGAAAAGATATTTTTTTCTACCCCATATAATATTTTTCTTCATACACTTCACTAATTTTATAGAAAGACATTTAAAGAGTATTCATTATGTGTCAACTGTTTAATGTTTTCTTAACATTAAATACAAATTAAAATTGCACAGCTCAGCAGACGTAGCCCCAACCAATAAAAATGGAGCGATGAAATAACAGGGCGAAATTTTAATTACACATTTAAGGCAGGACAAAGTGCGACCGGAGGAGCATTGTCACGGCGGGTCCCATAATGAACGATATTTCTGAATACATATAGGCCCCTTTTATGGTGGCACAAGGATACAAGGATACAAGGATACAAGGTGAATGGAATGCGTTTGCTGTCGCCGACACCTTCGGATGCAAATTGATTTCTGTGCTTGGAAAATGAAATACAAATATTTTTTTTTTTACAAAAAGCGCTGCACTTGCGAGGATTCTGTGAATGGGTTATGTTGGCAAAGGCTTTTAAATTATGGCCATAAATGTAGAGAGCGGGAATATATGTCCTGGCTAAAGGACAATGGCGCACGCAGCTCGAAGGCTCGCTTCCGCCTCCAAAATGGGCGGGGCAATAATAATGGGCACAATGATGGCACGTAGACAACTCTTTTGTCACATCAAATTGTGCTGAACATTTAACGTAAATTGTCGCATTGTAAATGTGCAAGGGGAATCGGATGACCGTTGAAAACGGGTATGGTTGGAAATGGCAGGCACTTAACACGTGACGATGATTTAATGGACCAGGGGAACCCAGGGGATATTGCTACAAGTTTGCTTGTAATTGTCAACTGAAACTCGCTTTTCTTTCATTATGATAGAAAATGGGTTGCACACATGCATAACTCGTTTTGTTTCCACACTGCCAATCCGCACAGATACTCCACTTTGCACAGGATAAAAGGGATACAAAGTGGGAGATGAGATGCAAACTGAACAAGGCAATTATTGCTTTTAATTGACACGACAACTGTTTGAAGGCTCTTCCATTCCGTTGTTCTCTCCATTAGTAAAGGGATTTTCATTTTCTGCACAGCAATGAAAATTCTTAAAAAATATTTAAGGCATTTAACTGTATATAGGTCGATTAAAAGACTTTATTTTTGAGTGTTAATTTTATAGAAAAGCATTTTTAGAATTTTTTTTTAGTCAGCAAACTATTATTTTGGTTACATAACTTATGATTTTGAATTTTTTTTCTGTGTATGAATATTGTTCTCAATGTTCACTTTGCATTGGTGCTGTTAAGAAGCGATTACAAGAGCCTGTAAGTTTTCATTCAGCTTATAAGCCCTACAGGAAAATATAATCACTTTCTTATTGTTGCCATTACTTCAAAGAAGCCAAAAACATGTAAATCCCCATAGCAATTTATAGGAATATTTCAAGCATTTTTAAGTTGTTTCAGATTAAGAGCAATCTTCAATGGTCTTACATTTATTTTATTTTATTTACTTACCCAACCGCTTATTGAACCCAATCAAACTCGATACAATCAAATATTGCAATAAAATGCCTCTAAATGCTGATTTAATTTACCAATCTCAAGGCGAAAATAAATATAAAACAAAGAAAGAATCGAAATCGGATTGAATAATTACATAAATCTCTGTAATATTAGCATTTCTTTCCATTTTTTCATTTGTTCGGAAATATTTTGCGGTCAAACCGAGAGGGCCGAAATAAACTGTGTAAAAAAATAGAGGAGTGAAAAAAACGAAGCATAAATTTACAAGCAATCTGGCGTGGAAAAGGAAAAATACCAGCCACGCCCACCGTCCAGATTTTTCAGCTGCCCTTCCGAATTTTCCCCCCATTTCGACATTCACGTTGCCCTTTATTGGACATTTAAAGCATTTGGCTCATTTGCATATTTGATTTATAGCCTCCAATATTGTAAGCAGCGTCCAGTTTTCCCCCGAAACCCGAGTTTCATATATATATATCCACCTTGTAATGCATTTTTTGTTACCAACCGCTTTTCGTTCTCTTCTCCATCTCGTTGCAGGTCACAGCCACCGATGGCGATGTAGATAGACCAATAAATATTGTATATTTCCTGACTGGCCAGGGCATTGACCCTGATAATCCAGCGAATAGTAAATTTGATATAAATCGCACCACGGGCGATATTTTTGTACTCAAGGTAAGTGAGCGCCCGTTTCGCCTTTTAGCGTTTTTAAACAGATTCCAATTTCGAGACCCCTCGTAAAACGGGCGTAATGAAAGCCAGTTGAAATTTCGCGCCGATCCCCCTCAAAAAAAGCAAACCGTGCAAATGGCGCGCAATTCGAAACAAAAACAGGAAAATAACTTTTTCGTTTGTGCTCCAGCTGGGGGTACTCTATAAGCTCCGGGGGGCTATTTTTGTGACAGGGGGCTTTTTCGCTTTGGCCGTTTACAATTGAGCCACAGTTTATGCTCGCACAAAGGCGCAGTTTATATTGTGTGACGACGGGTAAACAGTTAAAAAAAGAGGGGGTCCCAGTGCCATTGAAATGGGTCTACCCAAATTCATGTGGGTGGAATGACCTTGCGAGCTTTGTTGTCACAGAGTATTTTAGCAAATTAAGGGAGGCGCCATGTTTTTTATGGGAATTAAAAGTGTACTTAAATGATTACTGATAAAAATAGACCCTTAAAAAAAAGGTTGGTAAAATAATTTGGGTTCCTCCAATAAAAAAGTATTCATTAGTATTCTTTTAATATTTTAAAACATTATTTTAAAAATATTATTTGCCACTACTATTTTAAAATCATTTGATGTTTGACATCATTGTTTATACTAGTAGCCCACAAAAAGCATGGAGCGGCTTAACATCGAGTTTAACTTTGTCACTGCGACACTCTTTTCATAACCGGAAGGACTTGAAAACGTGTTCAATATTTAACACTTTTTGTCGGCTTCTGATTGCTGTCATCCCCAACCACCCGCGATTGCGAGACTTTTGTAAATTGTAAAGCTTTCCGCGCGGTTCGGTGGCGTATGATTAATTTAAAACTGTGTCAAACCGCACACACTTGCACAAATGCCACACCCATTGGTACATGGTCCAACGGAAAGTAATGTCATTTAGATGCAAAAAACTGCCACCATTGGTTGTCAGATACATAGACTCCAATTAATTTCAGACAAAGTCCATAAAAACTAACGAGTCAAAGTGGCACAAAACGAGCGAGAGGACATTAGTGTTGCTAACTATGGATTGCAAAAGAAGAGCTGAGTGTGGTAGCATCAAATATCATTGTTTGGAGTTTATTTTTATTTTGAGAGGGTGGAAATAAAGAAAATAGTAATTTTTTCGATGATATTTTTCCTAATTAATTTAAGTAAGTTTGGTTGGAAAAATTTCTATGGTCCAACGAATAATAAATTAAAATGCGGACATACGTTATTTTTTAAAAACAGATCAACACGTAAAATAAAAAAATTAAAAAAGATGAAATCATAAAGAGTTAATAAAAGTTCTCCATTCTTTAATATCGATTCAAAACTAAAGATAGTTATGCCTACCTTACACCATATAATTTAATTTTCTAAAAATGTAATATCATGAATAGTGATGCTTTAAGAGGGGGAATAAAAGTTTTCCTATAGATGGTTATACCTACCTTACATCTTATAATTTAATTTTATAAAAATGTGAAATCATAAATAGGGAATAAAAGTTCTCCACGCTTTAATATCTATTCAAACCCATATTTACTTTACATTTTATAATTTAATTTTATAAAAAAAGTGAAACCATGAAGGGGGAATAAAAGTTCTCTATGCTTTAAGATCGATTTAAACCCATAGATGGTTATACCTACCTTTTATCTTATAATTTAATTTTATAAAAATGCGAAATTATAAAACGGAATAAAAGTTCTCCGTGCTTCAAGATCGATTCAAACCTATATACCTACTTTACATTTTACTTATTTTATAATTTAAGGGCACATCCATCCCGGAAATAGTTGTCAGCACTACTGGGAATCCCGGGCCTTTCGAACTACGAGGCTCAAAAAACCCCCTCCGATTCTGCATTCTGCATAAAATGTTCAAATGTTGCCTCTGGCGGTTTGCTTTATTTGTTTTATTGCCGGCGGATAGGGCAGTTCACTGATGCGATAGGGTTCAAAGTGGCAGGGTGCACAGTGGGTGGGGCAGTGGGCGGTGGGCGGTGGGTGGCTGTGGGCGGAACAGCGACAGCATGTGGCATTTGTGGTTTTGACGCTCTACAACCGACCACATGTAAATGACGTTCGTCGTTCGTTATTGGTGCGCGGTTGGCTGGCATAAAATTGTGTGTAAAATCAGGCGGGGAAATGGGTGTTTGGTAAAAAAAGAGTTCCGAGTATTGGAGTTCGGAGGTCGGGGGGCTTCTTCGTTTGGCTGATGCCACTTTCCGTCTCTCTGCCGCCATTTAATTTGTAATTGCGATTGCATTACGTGTCACGTGGCAGTGAAACCATTTTTTCGCCTGCTTTAATTGAGCGAACTGGGTTTTAAAGTTTATTTGCCGACAGCTGTGTGAATGGCAATCAAATTGGTTATCTGGGTGGCAAATAAAGATGAGCCATTAACTGGGTCATACAAAACTAAGTACTTAAAGCAAGAAAAACATTGAATAGAGGTTACTTGTGAAGATATCTTTTAATTAAAGATGGTACCTAGATACATTTTTCTGCTGACCTGACCTGTAAACATTTTATTCAGAAGATACGAATAAGATTACTAGCTATTAAATTGGGAATTTTTACCTAAACCTATTTTATATCTCCTTTTATTCCCTTGACCTTCTTGACCACTCAAATATTCTCTTGGATATCGCATTTTATGTGGTTCGGGTATTCGTTTCAGCCAACCCACACATTTCTTGTATCTTTAGAATAAATACAAGACTTAGCTTTCATTTACTTCAATAGGACTACAGAATTAATTCATCGTAAAAGCAAATTGTCCTTCAGACCGACCACAGATACCAACACATTGAATACATTTCGTTAAGGTAAGAGTGTATGCTATATGCATTAGCTGAGCAAGCAATGTGTAAGGGTAATTTGAATAGGGGCCAGGCCAAGACCAAAGGTTGACAGGGCCAACACACTGACAAACGCAAAAACAAACACTACCACCGAGTACTGAAGGACATTTCAATCGGATGGATGGCTTTTATTTTGTCATTGCCAATGCAATTTCGTGTGGATAACTCATTTAATGAGAAATCTAATAACGGACTTGTGTGTAAGACCACCTACCAACGCAAAGCCATCAAAGCCAGGTTAGAAACAAACAACAGGCGATAGCCTACGGCTCAAGGGTTTCAATGGTCTGCGGCTCAGACTCCTTTGCTGTTTACCAAGGGGCATAAAATAATTTGCAAACAAACAAACAGCTGCCAAATCAAATCCCCAATCGACACTGTGAGAAAATAATGGTTTATTAGGGAGAAAACTAGATTTATACTGTGCCTTAAGACCAATAGTATATTTTGATAAGCCTACGTCGTACAAGAACTTTAATAATAACATCATTTTGAGTAATAGTACTTTATATTTTGAAAAAAAAAATTTTTCTTTTAATAATATTACCTTGTTTATACACTTTAGCATATAAAAGTAAGGCAGCTGACAACAAGTTCATGGTCTATATACAAAGAAAAATTATTCTGAAGCGAGTCATCACTATATATTTAAAATATAATACTATTTGGAGTAAATTACTAAATTTCATAATATTTATATACCATTATATTTAAAATATAATACTATTTGGAGTAAATTACTAAATTTCATAATATTTATATACCATTAAAATGAATACAAATTGTTTCTAAAGTTGTTTTAATGGTCTACTTATAAAGAAAAATAAAACTCAAGCGAATCAGGACTGGAAATTGGAAATCTGTCTTACTCATAACCATTTCAAGATATGATAACTTAATATTTCACATGTAATCCCCAATCCACAGCCCCTGGACCGAGACCAGCCCAATGGCAGGCCACAGTGGCGCTTCACAGTATTCGCCCAGGACGAGGGCGGCGAGGGCCTGGTGGGCTACGCGGACATCCAGGTCAATCTGAAGGATATCAACGACAATGCGCCGCAGTTTCCGCAGGGCATCTACTTTGGCAATGTCACCGAAAACGGCACCGCTGGCAGCTCGGTGATGACCATGTCCGCCGTCGACTACGACGATCCCAACGAGAGCACCAATGCCAAGCTAATCTACTCGATTGAGAAGAACGTCATCGAGGAGGAGACGGGGGCGCCCATCTTCGAAATCGAACCGGAGACGGGTCTAATCAAGACGGCGGTCTGCTGTCTGGACAGGGAGCGCACCCCCGACTACTCCATCCAGGTGGTGGCGATGGATGGCGGTGGCCTAAAAGGTAAGAGTGATGGATACACCTGGGTAGGGGGTTCGAACCCAATCAGCCAGATTGTTTGTCTAGCTGCGACACTGCTGTGGCTGATAATGGCCTCTATCAGACATTTGTGATGCCCAGAAGACGGCATTTATTTCTTGATTCCCCTAATCCGATTGCCCAAAGATGTCTGGCTTTCAAAATATTGCTGTTTATTTTCATTCCCTTTAGGTCTTGAGCACAAATATTGATTTGTTAATTGCAAAAGATGGTTTACCAAAAACCACAAACCAATTATATTTAATTTGCACATCAGTTTTTCGTCGGAAAAAAAATAATACATAATGGTGGCTAGGGTAAATTACATTTTTACCACAAACTTGACATAAAACCACAGCTGTGGGGGAAAAGCGATTCCCAGAATTTTTCTTAATTCTCAGATGACAGAATTTATTCCTTGATTCGCTTATCCGCTTAAGATGCCTGCGGGTATTAAAAGATTTTGCTTTGAAAATTTTGATGTCTATTTCCTTTACGTGTCTTTTGGTGTCTTGATAACAAACATATATTTATTTATGGCAATAGAAGGTTTGTCGGGACCCACAAATTAATCAAAATTAATACGTAAATCCGTATTGCTTAAGAAAGCAAAGCCTGAAACCCGGTGCCTAAGATAAACTCAAAAAATAAAATATTTAAATTATACAAAGACTGATAAGAATTTTCCAAGCTAAGTCGTAGGTTACCTTAGACCATTTATCTACATGACATAAAAAAAAGTTCCCACATAAATGTGCCAGGGAGAATGTTAAATGGCCAACTTATATGAGAGACAAGCAATTTATCAAAATTATCGAAATATATCAAATTTCGCCAGTCATTGGCCCCATTTTTCCCACTGCATCTGTTTGTAATCGACGGCCATCTGATGCACCCTGTCTGTTCTGTTTACCATCCCATTTCACAGGCACCGGAACCGCCTCCATTCGCGTCAAGGACCTCAACGACATGCCGCCGCAGTTCACCAAGGACGAGTGGTTTACGGAGGTGGACGAAACGAATGGCACTTACATCCCAGAGACGCCCATCCTCACGGTGACCGTTCAGGATGAGGACGAGACCAACACGTTCCAGTACAAAGTGGTGCCCAATAGTGGATTCGGGGCGGACAAATTTGCGATGGTGAGGAATGGCGATGGAACGGGCTCGCTGAAAATCATACAGCCACTGGACTACGAGGATCCGCTACAAAGTAGTGGATTCCGGTTTCGCATTCAGGTCAACGATAAGGGTGACGATGGACCCGGCGGAAGTGACAAGTACCACGTGGCCTATTCCTGGGTGGTGGTTAAGCTGCGGGATATTAACGACAATGTGCCCAAGTTCGATCGGGAGCACATTGAGGTCTCCATCTATGAGGACACGAAAGTGGGAACTATACTCGAGCAGTTCAAGGCCACTGATGCCGATCAGGGGGGTCACTCCAAAGTGATTTACAAAATAGTTCGATCCACGAACCGTAGAAGACAGTTTGCCATAAGTGACAAAGGAGCTGTGAGCATACAAAGACCTTTGGATAGGGAAACCCTAGATCGACATCACATTCAGATCCTAGCTATAGACGATGGCAACCCTGCTCGAACTGCAACGGCAACCCTAAACGTGATAGTTAAGGATGTGAATGACAATGCACCCACTTTTGCCCAGGACTACAAGCCAACTTTGCCGGAGAATGTGTCTGGTAAAAAAATTCTGGAGGTGGCTGCCAAGGATGCAGATGATCGACAAAGGGGCAATGGTGGGCCCTTCACTTTTCGATTGGATCCTTTGGCGAGCGATGAAATAAGAGCGGGCTTTAAAGTGGAATACGATCGCAGTAAGTTTTAAAATAATTTAATGAGAACTTAAATATTTAAAATGTTCAGTTTAATTTCCAACACCTTTGGGTATTAATAAAATATAGTTAGATGTTAATCGAAATCGGCAACACATGTAGAAAATTCAGCCGAGGGCAAATCGCTTTGCATAATTAATGATGCAAAAAATGTTTAAACGCTCACTAAGCCCCACATCTGTCAAATTGGTGCCAAAAAAAAATAGTAATGAAAAATAATCGCCAGCACTTGGAAAAATTATAAAATAAAATGCGGAGTATGTTTAATGCATTAGCTTGATTAAAAATGTATGCAATGAGATATGTCGCACCAATTTATACCAATTACGCATCTCATTTAAGTAATTATGCAAATTAATATCAAGCGAATACGCAAAATAGTTTTTATTTATTTAGACTCTCCATTTGTTTATGGCCAAATAATTAATTCAGAGTTTGAAAATCAATTATTTATTTTGATACCCCAAAGGCGTTTGGGTCAATTCGATTACAGGAGAGACACTTGAAACCCAAACACGTGCCAGGTTGGGAAAAAATTAGAGGAAGAGTGATAAAAACACATCAATGAGAATGGACCCTAAGATACAAGAGAGAAATGTGCCCTGAAATTCAAACTGGCATGGCAGAAAAACTGGTCGAGTAAATTGAAAAACTTGCTGTCAATGTCAGCACAGCATTCAAGTGACACCTCAAATTTTCTTTCATTTGATCGATTTTATTGGGGTGCTCTCCAAAAGTTTTCCTTTTTTAAGGTTTTTTGTTCCGGTTTTTTGTTTCAAATAACTCCCAACAATGGCCACACAAAAAACTGTTGAGCAATTTCCATTTTACAAAAGAGGAGAGCGGAGAAAAAAATTGAAAATCAAGATTGAGAGAGTAGTTATTTTCCAAGACCGACCTAATCAACACACTTTTCCTTAAAACCTCAATGTGCCCATTAATATTTTTTTGGTAACAGAAGTATGGGTAATTAAACAACGTGCGTTAGAATAAATAATTGTAATGATATTAATTTATTTAAATGGAAAAATTAGATACCTGAAAGAACGTTTTATAGTCGCTTGAATAAATATTCTACGAATATAAATTCTATACAAGGCTGTCCCTCTTCATTGCCTTAAAAATTCCCATTCGTGTTTCTAAAACACTGTATTTCCAAGAAAAACTTTATTTTTGTGCACATACCTTACTCTAGGGAAAAGCCCATGAAAGGAAAACACCAAATCGCAATGAAAACAAAAGCCGGCCGGACATGGTCAACTACGCCAACCGAAACGAAGCCTCGAGGCCAAGTTCTGTCCACAGTAACGTCGCTCCTCTGTATCTCTGATTCCCACTTTGCAACCAATTTCCCTATCTCTCAGTTGGGTTTCGCAGGCGTTTTTTCTTTTTTTTTTTGGTTACTAACTTTGTGGCACAAACAATGCTGATGATGCTGATTGTCTGAAACATAATTCAATCACCATTACTATGCAAACACAGTTTGGTTTAGCGTTTGATTTCGACTTTGATTGTGTGGCAATTGCCTTGAATGAATGAACTGAATTGGGTGGAGTGCCCGAAAGCAGAGGGAAAGTGGCGAAGTGGTTCGGTTTTGAATTGCAAGTTGTTTGATTTTAGCGTTTTCTAGTTAGTTTGGCCAAGTGCAGTGGTGTAGAGCTGCACTGAATGGGGTTGGAGAGTACCAGTCTACCCATCCATCTAGGGAGTTTTAATTTGTAATCACTAAGGTTTTTAAGTAAATGTATTTTACCAAAAAATTTATTTTCATTTTCCAGGAGGTGACAATGGAAATGGTGTGGCTATCATCTCATCCCTTCGTCCTTTTGATCGCGAGGTGCAAAAGACCTATGCCATCCCCATTGAGATCAAGGATAATGGAGCTCCTGCGATGACGGGTACCAGTACTTTGACCATAACGATCGGTGATGTAAACGATAATAAAATGCAGCCGGGCAGCAAATCCGTTCTGGTTTATAACTACCAAGGACAGTCACAGGATACGCAGATAGGCAGGGTCTACGTCAACGATCCGGATGACTGGGATGTTCCGGATAAGAAATACTACTGGGAGATCAAGGAACACCAGCGTTTTAAGCTAGATACGGATACGGGAATTCTAACGATGAGAGCGGGAACCAGAAGAGGTCGTTATCAGTTGAAATTCAAGGTCTACGATCGCGAGCATGGCCAGGAGGATATACCCGCCAATCTGAGCGTTACAGTGCGCGACATAACAGCAGAGGCTGTTCAGCAAGCCGGTTCCATGAGATTGGCCCACATAACGGATGAAGACTTCGTGAGAACTTGGAACCCAGTTAAAAATCAAGTGGAACCATCTAAGTTGGAAAGATTTCGTAACAAACTCGCTGAATTGCTATACACAGATCGAGATAACGTGGATGTATTTAGTGTCCAGCTGAAGGAGGGTTCTTCCTATCCAATGACCGATGTTCATTTTGCAGCCCGTTCTGCAACTCAGCAACCATATTTCAAAGCAGTTCGCTTGAATGGTGTGGTACAGATGCATCGTGAGGAGATCGAGCATGAAGTGGGCTTAAATATCACCATGGTTAATATTAATGAGTGCTTGCACGAGGGTAAGGGAAAATGCGGTTCTAGTTCTTGCACTTCCAAGGTGGAATTGGGCAAAAAACCCTATACGGTTAGTGTTAATCGCACAGCTTTGGTGGGCGTTCGTTTGGATATCAGTGCTCAATGTGTTTGCAAGGCCAGGAACTTTACCAATCAGGATCACAACTGCAGAACCCATCTATGCTATAATGGAGGACGTTGTGTGGAGACTCGAAATGGTCCCAAATGTGTGGCCTGTCCAGTGGGCTACAATGGTCCTCGTTGTCAGCAGTCCACCAGGAGTTTTCGCGGCAATGGCTGGGCCTGGTATCCCCCGCTCCAGCAATGCCAGGAATCCCATCTCAGTTTGGAGTTCATCACACGTGTGGCCGATGGCCTGATACTCTACAATGGACCCATAGTCCCACCTAAACCTGAAGAAACCGTGATCAGCGACTTTATAGCCATCGAACTGGAGCAGGGCTATCCGCGTCTCCTCATCGATTTTGGGTCGGGAACCCTGGAACTAAGGGCAAAGACCAAGAAAACCCTGGATGATGGCGTGTGGCATCGTTTGGATATATTCTGGGACTCTGAAAATGTCAGGATGGTTGTGGACTTTTGTCGCACTGCCTTGGTCAGCGAAATGGAGGATGGCACTCCGCCGGAATTCGATGATAATGCCTGTCAGGCGAGGGGACTAATTCCCCCATTTTCCGAGGCCCTCAATCTGAATCAACCCCTTCAATTGGGTGGCCTTTATAGGCAGCACTTCGACCAAACCCTGTACAATTGGCAGTACGCTTTTAGCTCAAAGGGCTTCGATGGGTGTATCCGAAATGTAATCCATAATTCTGAGCACTATGATTTGGCTTTTCCCGCCTTGGCAAGGAATAGTTTTCCCGCCTGTCCGCAAACCGATGAAGTTTGCCTGAAAACCGAACATACAGCCCGTTGCTGGGAGCATGGTAATTGTGTGGCCAGTCTGGTTCAGGCCAAGTGCCATTGTCAGCCGGGTTGGATGGGTCCGGGTTGCAATGTGCCCACCATTCCGACGACTTTCAAGGCCCAGAGTTATGTGAAATTCGCCCTAAGCTTCGAGCCAGACCGATTTTCCACACAACTGCAGCTAAGATTTCGAACCCGCGAGCAGGGTGGCGAACTCTTCCGGGTTAGTGATCAACATCATCGGGAGTACGCCATCCTGGAGCTACGTCGGGGCCATCTTCAATTCCGATACAACCTGAACTCGCTCAGAAACGAGGAGCAACTACTGACTTTAACAGCCATCACTGTGAACGATGGCCAGTGGCATGTGATTCGCATTAGTCGATACGGATCGGCGGCTCTAATGGAACTGGATGGCGGGGAGTCGAGGCGGTACAACGAGTCCTTTCACTTCGCAGGACATCAGTGGCTGAGCATCGACAAGCAGGAGGGTGTTTATGCGGGCGGCAAGGCCGAGTATACGGGAATCAAGACCTTTGAGGTGCAGTCCGACTTTCAAAGGAGCTGCTTGGACGACATCAGGTGAGGGCTAATGCCGATTGAATAGGGTCATTCTAGGGGTGCTGTCCTGATACCCTTGTAGGGAGATGCTAAGGTACTTTAGGAGCTAAGTGGACCCTTCCAGAAAATGTTTTGAGCCTTAAAAGTAAAAATAGATTTAAGTAGTCAATCAGAAAAAGAGAGTAGAGAAAAATACATTACTTATTTGAATTTTACTTATTTTTTATCAAATTATTTTGACATATTCATTTATCATTAAGTATTCTAATTCTGATTTGATTGATTTTGAAACTTTTTCAACCAATTTTGATTAAAAATTTTAAAGATTAATGTAATTTAAATTAGGTTACAAAGTTAATAAAGTTAACGGCAAAATATCAAAATAAAAGTCAAAAAACAAAATTTTTAAATTTTATTTTTCATGCACCAATAAAACGTAGTAAATCCATTACTAACACACACATTATTCACAGTAAATTTGGATATTTTCGCTATAATTTTCATCCATTGCAGGATTTATTTAATTTAAATATGGATATAGCTAGTTTAACGATTTCAAACTTTGATTTTATATAAATTTCTTGTTCATTAACATTAAAAAAATTTAATTTGTCATACTATCATATATCTACTACATTGGACCTTGGTTTAAATACTTTAAGAATAAATCATAACATTCAATAAGTTTTGTATAAAATGCTGTTTTTGCATTTACTTTAAAAAGTCATTATAAAATGATATATTTTTTATGTAGATATTTATTTTAAGTGTTCCACTTTTGGCAGTGTAGTTAGCTTCCCCTGCTAATCAAAGAAAACAGTAAGGGGACACATTTTTAGAGCTCCTCGATTGCCGGTACTCATGCATAGTTTTCCTTTCCCCGCTTTTCCGACCGGCAGGCTGGATGGAAAACACTTACCCCTGCCCCCCGCCATGAACGGTACCCAGTGGGGCCAGGCCACGATGGCCCGCAACCTGGAGCGCAACTGCCCCTCGAATAGGCCCTGCTCGAATGTCATCTGCCCGGATCCCTTTGACTGCGTCGACTTGTGGAACGAATACGAGTGCACGTAAGTACACCTTTTCATTTTCATTTCCTGGCCGCTTCCTTTGTGTACGGATTCATGGTAGTTTATTGGGTTTTCGATTTAATTACAGCCCCCCTTTGATTGCCTTTGAGGTCAGAAGGCCAAAAGGTGTAATTAAATCGGTGCAACTATCAATAATTATTTCTTTGGCAATAGGAGATTGAATTTATCCAATTATTTCACATATAAAGTTGTAAGGCTTTGTACTTAAATAGGTTATGTAGAGTCACGGACATAACTTTGTGTGTCAAAATGTCATCATCGTAAGAGCTCTCTGGATTGGTAAACATATTTCCGAGAAGGACTCCCTGCCATTTTCCAGCTTCAGGCACACAGACAATGTCAAACTGCAAATTGACTCGGAATGCAAAACAAATAATATCATTGCTATTGTCTTTCTGTCCTGGCTCATGCAAACCAAAACCGCAAAAGTAAAAAGTTGCACTTAGAAAAAAACACTAAAATGTGGATCTAGATAATCACATTAGTCGAAATAAAAATATTTAACACGAATATAAAAATAAACTTAGTAAAAATCTAATATCTGTGACCAACATATTTTTTAGTCTCTATTATTAAGTGTCCTTATAAAATGTTTTTCATAAAATGTTTTACAACCTATAATAAAAATAAATCATATAACATATATGAAAAAAGCTTAGTAGGGATCACACCAAAATATATTTTAAATCTATATTATCAACTGTCATTTAAAAATGTTTTTCATAAATTGGTCTATAGCCAATAATATAAATAAATAATATAAAATATATAATACACAATAAACTTAGTGAAGACCAATCCCCAACGACCTAAACATATTTTAAATATCTATTAACGACAATTTTAAATTATATTTCATAAAATTTTCTATAACCTACCTATTACCTATTTTTGTTGTATTATTTTTTAGTTGGGTGTATTTAAATTTTTCAAATGCAAATAAGTTAAGCTTAATTTATGGTCAGGAAGCAGGAGAATTATTTCCTTTGTGCTCAAACGAATTGTTTGGAAAAAATGTGTATTTTCCGAGTGTTTGCACATGGAAATATCTACATTTGCCTGGCTGGCTTGGCAGGGAGACTGGAAATCTGGGGCACGATTCCTGATCCTGCCGCTTCTGCTCTCCAACACCTCATCGATGATGGGTCGCTGTGCTGGTGGCAGTGGCAGTTGCCTCGCCCGAGAGCAGAGCACATTTTCCACATCATTAGTTCTGCGGAGTGACTCCATTCGAGGGCCGACGACAGCCAGCAAGGACACCCAATCTGGCACTGCATCATGTCCTGTGCCTCCTGCTCCTCCTGCTCCTTCTGCTCCTTTTGGAGGAGAAAGACTAAGCACCCCCAGCTGTGAGCTTCTCGCTCCATTTGCTTTCGGGAACAGAAACATCTGGGCCTGCTGCTTCTTAACACGTGTTCGCCAGGTCCTCCTTTTTTTCAAGATAAATTTAAATAGTGGCACACGCTTCGCCTTCAGGTGGCGACGTGTCATAAATTATGCTTACTTTAGCCTCAATTTCGTTGCCGGTTGTGGGCAGCAGTTAATGCAGTGCCTCTGCAGGAATTTGTGTCACTCAGCCAGGACACTAAGATGTCGGACAAGGAGCTGTCCTCAATTGGAATACGAAATGACTTCAATTTAAATGTGCACAATGTGTGCAGGGGGTAAACTTTAACTTTTCCCGCTCTTAAAGCTTTAATTTCCCCATCGCTGAGTTGTCCAGGGATTTTGCAGTCTAACCCAAAACTTCACGCCCTTAATGCGCTTCGGAAAATATTTGAGAGGGGCGCGTAGCTCATGGGGGAATATTCTATCCCCTTGGTTGCCCAACTCTGTGTGAAAATAAAAAAGTTTTATTTCGGTGAAAAAATAAAATTGCCAAACGTGAGTGCACTTTACCAAAACTAGAATTTTATTCTAAGTTCCTTTTTTTAAATTTGGTCACTTAGAATTTTATTTTCTATAAGTTGTGTTTTTAAAGGTTTTTCTTATATATAACCCAAGAAAATATTTTTTTTTTGGCATTCATAAAGAAAGTCTTTTATTATATAAAATACCTTTTTTATATTTTCTTAGGTTATAAAATTATTTTAATTAAAAATTAGTAATATATATGAATCCTGCGCGGATGTACTGGGGGATATGATGGATAGATCCCTCCTTCGTGTTAAAAAATATATGTAATATGTAACATTTTTTTTATAACCCCCTTACAAGTAAATTTTGAATCCGCCACTGATATGATTATACCTAAATCTTTTGCTTAGTGTAATAAATGAAGGACTTAAAGAAATTTATGTATCCCTTTCATTAATGTCAACTGATTACCTACAATTTATTACTCTACATGACCATTTTTTGCCGAGTGTAAGGGCAAAAAGAATAGGAGAAATCGTTGTGGCAGCAAACATTTCCCTCCCCATTGCCGTAATCGCCTCTGAATTCGTTATAACTCTGCCGTCCTCCGATTTCTCGTTCCAGATGCAGCGAGGGTCGCATCATGTCCTCGGACACCAAGGGCTGTGTGGACAGGAACGAGTGCCTGGACCTGCCCTGTCTGAACGGGGCCACCTGCATCAATCTGGAGCCCCGGCTGCGGTATCGATGCATCTGTCCGGAGGGCTATTGGGGCGAGAACTGCGAACTGGTCCAGGAGGGGCAGCGCCTGAAGCTGAGCATGGGCGCCCTGGGGGCCATATTCGTTTGCCTGATTATCATACTGAGTAAGTCCACAGTCGTCAACCGCAAGTGAAGACGCCCCATCAACCCACTGTATCGCTAAGCTTCCCAGGGAAATTTCCCATTCATGTGTGTCAATTAAGCGGCTTAAGCAGCAACATTTTTCCTTTCCAAGCCGCCAGTCCCCAACACCCCACCACATGCAAACTTGCTCCACTCTGTTTTCCCATGTTAATGCAATTTGCTGGGTAGGAAAAGCCACCTTCCTTCGTCCTCCGAAAAAAAGCCAAAAAATATAACGACACGACACTGACATCTGTTTGGACAGTCGCGACCGTGTGGGGCTAAAAAAATAAAAGTGGCAACGGGTTAACATGGGAGGACCCCTGCATTTTCAACAACACAAAGTGGCAACAAATCTTGTATTCGTTGCTTTATTTTTGCCACACTTTTTTATGCTCAGACAGGGGCAATTTGTTGGATTAGCTGAAAAAAAGGACGACGAAAATATTTGCATAGCGGCTAATTAAGCTTGGGGAAAAATACGAGACAAGTTTACACGATTTTAGCAAGACTTTTAGGAAATTAAATTCTGTATTTATGTGTAGCATTTTTGGGAACGAAATATTACATTTTGAGCAAGAAGATAGCCATTGTATGCCATTATAATCCAATGATTAAGACACTTACTATATCAAATTAAATAAATGTAACGCTATCTAAATGGCAATCATATCCAGACATTTCATTTTTGTCTAACAGCTAGACTACGAAATTGTAATATATTTATACCCATTACTTACTAAATATTTTTTATTGTAAACTGAAATTGATTTTATTGATCAATAGTAAACGTTGAGAGTCGAACCAATATCTGATAGTCGAGGCACTCTTGCTTTTTCTTGTTTTAAGCTGTTTTGACTTAATAACAAAAAAGGAATTGAAAACCTTCACGGATTAAAAATGAAAATAAACAAATAAAATCGCAACATATTGATAAAAAATTAATTTAAATTGATCTTACTCTAGCCAAAGGACAAATATACTTTCATCGAATTGTCCAAACCAATTACAGCTATGTATTTTACTGCAGGAAAAAATCGCAGAAAATGGAATAAAATTTTAGGAAAGCTCAGAGCACTTAATGGATTTTGCGAACGAGTGTTAAGTGGCTTTGGCCATTTGGATATTTTGGCCATGCCGCTTTTCCCAGCCCAATGCAAATGCGTTTTCTCGCACGCAATGCGCTACAATCTATTTTCGTTTCGCCAGCTCGTCTGGGATTTGAAGGGATTTTCAATTAGCGCAACATTTGGCCCCTTACCCAGACTGGTTTTATATACGCCTTTCTGTGCGAATCCTGGCCAGCTTATTTTGGGGCCATATTTAAAAGTGACGCTGATTTATCCGGCCTTTGGGCCGACTTTAATGAGTACTTTGGCCATAGTTGCAGATGGGAGCGACAACAAAAGGCGAGGCTCTAAGCTAATTAGTCGCAGCTAAGGCAGATAATTACACAGTTGGCTGCGGGGCGGAAAAACAAAGACTGGAAGTGGCCATAAAACCGCTAAACCGCAAAATAGGCGCAATAAATAAAGGAGAGGAAGTCCGTCGCAGAAAAGTACTTTCATCTCGTCCGGCTTTTTTATGATGTGCAAATATCTCAGGAACCGAAAAACATAAAATCTGACAGCCGCTGTCTTGTCCTCGGTGTTTGTGTTGATTCGCCGTAAAGTGGCGTAAAGTTTAAGGGCAGGGGGCGAGAGACAAACTAAATAATTATCCAACATTATTTACAGTCAACGCTTTTTCATGTCCTGTCTGTGGAGGTCCTGCCGGCCGCTACTGGCCAGCTCCTGTGTAATCTGTGAATCGCTGAACTGTATTTTAGCATAAAGTTTCAAGTGTCCAAGTGGAGCAACTACGGACTTGATGAGCTGACCTGGTCAGCAAGTTCAGGCCAGCAACAAGATATTACCCGGGTCCTTGGTCCTTGGTCCTCCACAGTTAAGTGCAAACAAAGGCCGTTAAAGAGCTTTCGGCCCGGCTTTTGTTCATCTTACTGGATATTTTTGCCTTTGTTTTTGCAAGTTTTTATGTAGGTTAGTTCATGTTCTCCTCTAGCTGTTGTGTAGTTTTTTGGGCTTCAACTTGTTCTTGTTTTATTTTCCTGTCGGTCGGTGGTAATGTTGATTAAAGGTTGATGAATGAACAGTTGGCCCTGGCCTGCTTAGCCAAATATTGTGCACTTTATCCACAGACTGCAGCCTTTAAAATGGGCTTTGATAAAGTATTTTTAGTGCAAATTGGTTAGGCAAATAATTAAGTTAGGTGCTTTGTTGCAGTTGCATTTTCGAGCAGGTTTCAATGGGAAATTCAATCCAAAACTTTTCTCAGGCAGAAAATATTTACCAAGGAATTTATTTTTCAACGTTTCTTAGCCAAAAACCCCTTAACAATTTATTTTTGAATTTTAATAACTGAAGAAAGGGTTATTGGAAGTGGTATCTCACTTTATGCAAACAACATTTTTGTTTTACAGAAATAATCTTTATATTTAAGCATAACCAATCCCTTTACTTATTTATCATATTTTCTGCTTTATTTTGGTATTTTCTTTAGTGAAGCTTATGTTTACTTTTACCTCTGTCAAAATTACTAAAAATAACCCTGATTTATAATCAAACTTAATGAAATTTTCTGATTTCAGAAAGTTTTAGGAACAGATTTTGTGTTCTTCGCTTTAAGACGAATTATCGAAGATTTCTTCTGGCTGTTTTTGGATGGGGGCACATTAATAGCAAAACTTGTGCGGCAAGATAATTTAGAAAGTTTGCTCGCTCCTTTCTGCGGCGAGAGACAAATTTAATGCACTTCAAGCCATGGCCAAGAACCAGTAGTAAACTATTTTCGGTTCAATTCGGTACTCGGTTGTGGCTTTGGGTTTTGTGTCTTGCTGCTGTTGCAACTTTATGCTGTAATTGTTGCATTAAACTTTCCAGCTCCCAAAGACACAGGACAACTCGAATCGGGGTGAATGGTGGCTAGTGGATAATGGGTGTTTTAGACTCCCCCACATTGACAGTCATTTGGCAACTAAGCGGATTACAAGTCGGCCAAAAACATTCACATTCCAAATGCACATTTCGAGTGTCGTCCGAATCGTCGTAGCATGAAAACTTGTTAAGTTCTGTGTCCTTTCTGCGTTTGCCGTTTTACTTTAGTTTGCTTAAGTAGCATAAAGTTATTAATAAGTTTCCCTCCACTCAACCACTGCAACATATTCTCGGAAAATTCCCAGCCCCCTTCCATTCTGTTTGTCGGGTAAACAGGACTTTTGCTCGACGGCACAAAAATAAAAATGACTGCCGAATGAGAATCCCTCTCGTAGACTTGCATTTTATCATTTGCGCTTCAGTTGACAGGAATATTAACTTGACTCCGGCACAGTGGGGTTAAGCAAACAGCTAAGTAAAAATAATTAAAACTCTGGCTCGACTTCTTCAAAACGACAAGCCAGCCAAGAATGTTGCTCTGGGGATGCACCACCCACTTTGCCCCTTCTTTTTTTAATTTTTTGGTTTTTAATGCCCCAGCATTTCTTCTGGGCTAAGCGGATTCATTAGTTGCAATAACAGCCAGCTGACTTTCGCAGAGACAGGCACAAAAGTTCATTTATAAGGAAAGAGCATAAAACATTTCTTCACTGGCGAGTTGATTTCTCGTAATTGTTGCCAACTGGGCGCGGCCTTGGAATCATTATCTTCTTAAAATCCAAGTGCCCTATTTGTTTGTTTTTTACCCCTCGCATAAGCTTATTGATTTTCTTAGCAGAAAAATGTATTTATTCTTAGGCTAGTAAAAATAATTATAGTTCAGCCGCAATACCTATTTTTAAATCATTTTATACTGTTTCCAGTCAGCAATTAAAACTTACATTTATTTTAAAGTACTTCCACCCAGTAAAGGCGGAAAGTTTTCACTTCCTCTCATTTTCCAAGTGTGGAAGCAAAAAAGAACAACATTTTTCCCAACATTTAATTACCTTCATTAAATGTAAATGGAGTTGTTGTTATGGCTCTGACAGCTAACAGACACCCAACAGACTCCCATCCTTGCTTTAGGTACAAGTTTTTCCCTTTCTAGTGGTTTGTGCCTTTAAAAAAAAACACAATGGTAGGAAAAAAGAGGTTCTGATAATGGAGCAGGAAAAATTATGGGCCATTTTAATGGGTATAATTTAAGGGAATGTTCCACAAAAAAGGAGACAATTCGGACAAACTGTGAGAGGAGTAGGATAGCGCTTGAGTAAATATTTGGGAACTACTTCAACATGAAATTAAATTTCTTGAACAACCCATATAACTAGTTATGAAAAGCGGTAGAGAAACAATGCAAATAAATTAGTACATTTTAGAAAAAAATTCTATAAATTCCATCCTTTGACGTACAATGGTGTTTAGTATCTTAAATATTCGTGAAAAGACTTCTCTAAATGAACGTAAAATATTTTGGGGGTTATTCTTTTTCTGGTATTTTTAAGGCTTGTTCACCACATACAATTTTTTTTAAATAGGGCTAAACAGACTACTTAAATGACCATAAATTGTGATCAACTTAAGATATGATGAGACCTTAAATGCCAATCTGTAGAAGGGCATCTAAGCAATTTATTTGCCTACATATCAATAAAATTGAGTGCAAACTCTTGAAGATATATTTATTCAAAAATTAGTTGTGGGATTTTTTATCAAACAGCGTTTTGACACATACCACACTTTAGGATCGAAATCTAAGTATATGCATAAGTATAATGCCCATTGGCCATCAAGCAGTAATATGCTAACATCTTTTATTTCTAGAATTGCTAGAATATCTTTTCTGATAAAAAATTTAATATTTTACTAATACTACCCATCTACCTCTCAGTTCTCGCCCTGATCTTCGTGATATACAGCCGCAAACGCAAGACGACCAAGAAGAAGAAGCGCTCGGGTCCCGAGAAGGATGTCCGGGAGACGGTAATCAGCTACGAGGACGAGGGCGGCGGGGAGGACGACATGACGGCCTTCGACATCACGCCACTGCAAATACCAATCAGCGCCCAGGGAGGACCGCCGGACATCGCCGCCTGCAAGATGCCCATAATCTGTGAGTAAACACGGCAAAGAGGTGCCGCCAGCCCCATTGGGACATGGCCAAGTAATTGGGCGGTTGTTTGCACTTAGACCCCGTGATGACGCTGCTGCCACCTGGCCAGGAGCTGAACGTGGCCTATCTGATGGAGGAGCGGAAGCAGCGCATCGACAAGGACAACAACGCACCGCCCTTCGACGACCTGCGCAACTTCACCTTCGAGGGCAGCGGCAGCATTGCCGAGTCGCTGAGTTCGCTGGCCTCCGGTAAGCATATATTCTACACAAACTAGAAAATTGCGAAATTTAGTAAGATATGATGGTCATTTGAAGGAAATTTAGTCTCAATTCTATCTGGAAACGATATGATCGTATTTTTTTCTCTTACAGAAAACTCTAACCCACACTAATTTAAGGCACTATCTTGCTCCTTAATTTATTTTCCAATTAGAAAGCATTTTTTAAATGGGGGAAAATTATAACTTATAAATTAACCTTGCGAATAATTTATTTAATTTTGTGTTATTGGATTACCAAAATAGTCAGGATGCTAAATATTTTATAAAATATAACATCTAAACAACATCAAAAAACTAAAATTCTTTTAAAGGTTAAAAATAAAAATACTTTACAAAAGTCGAAGTTTAATATAAAAACGTAAATTGCCACCTCAGGACTGAAATCTCCTTGAGTGTAAACTAGATTTCCTAGTTCAATCAAATACCTAAATTTGATGGCCATTTTTAACCTCCTCCCCACACTTTTCGCAGAAATCCTTTTAACTCTCTCCCCCTTGTCCAATTGCAGGCACTGATGATGAGAATCAAGACTTTAACTATCTACAGAACTGGGGTCCACGTTTCAATGCTCTGGCCGCCATGTACGTGCACGATAAGGCGAAAGCCAAGCAGCTTCCATCGGACGGCGGTGGAGGATCTGCGGAAGGACCAGGAGCCTCATCATCATCGCCATTGGGAGGAGGAGGTGGAGGTGTAGGTGGAGCAGGGATTGCAGGCGATGTCCTTGCGGTGGTGGCAACCGGCAGTGGGGCAGGTCCTGGAGGCGGCGGCGGTGCCAGTGGGTTAATGATACTGCCCGATGTCGACAAAGTTGTATTATAAAGATAAATAGTTAAGTTGTAGTTAAAATGATGTTTCAGCTGTAAGCACTATGGAGGGTGGAAACCTCTAACCGAAACAGGTGTTTTGTGTATTTTTGTGTCTGGTTAGAGTTAATTGTATGTACATGTGGCTAACTGTGGAATTTAAGACTAACTTAAGGTTTTTAGGTGTTTTCTCACATATAAGATATTGAGGGGCTCAAATAAAGAATGGGTTATCATTGAAGAACCCGCGTTACTTTCGCTACTTGTTAATATAAAAAAGTTATGGATTTTAAATACATATATGTTGAAAATTAGAACAATTTAATGTTATTAATTTTAATATGCTGTTCCTTTAAATATATAATTTTGGTTGTTGATATACATTTTTCCATTTCATTTTAAGATCTTTTAAATCCACGGGAAAGGTACACCTATAACCTTCCCAAGCCACTTTCTTTCACAAGACTTTCTGTGTCTTCCCTTCAAGTCTCATCTGCTCGATGATATTTAACTGAACCAACTGAGAAATCAATGAATAAAATTATATGATTAAGCATACTACACAACAATGAAAAAGAGTTTATAAAACTTGCTACATATTAGTTAAAGACCCTGTATAAATACGGCGTTAGCTCTCTAGCACGTAAGTTGGACCGAACTAAACCGAAATTTTGCCCATCCTCTCAGAAAATGTTGAGCGTTGCAACTTTTGTGCGCCACCGACAGGGGAACGTGTCCAATTGCCACCGACCAGGTGGCACCTGAAAACCCAAAAGCCAACGCCGAATGCTGCCACCGAACCCATGCAGCCACAAAAGTTTGCAGAGCAAAGTAGAAATTTAATAAGAGGAAAAATCATAACTAACTTTGGTGAAAATTAAAGGTAATTGGGGGAGACTCTACTGTAACATAATTTTGTACATATTAAATTCTGTAATTCTACAATTAAATGAATGGCTATCATAGCGAAGAAACGTAAAGAAAAGAAAACAACTAATAGACTAATTAACTACAATTAAACCTACATTTAATTACCGACTTAACAGAAGCCGAAACCAAATACGAGTGTTGATCAAACCAATTTCATATTTCTGCATTTACTAGCAACTACACAACCAGAACAGAAAATGAAAGTATTAATAATAACATTGTAATATGTATTAAATTATGAGTCGTACACGAAAACAATGGTTAATTACAATTACGTTAGTTAATGGACAATTTGTTAGTAGTTAGCATCTAAGCATAATTTTTTAAAAATCAATAAAGCCCCCAAAAAAATACAAATAAAAACGAAATTATACAATTCCATAAAAAGTAATTTCCATGCCAATATGCAGTGTTCTTTTTTTCCAACGAATCCTGGATGTCAGCCAATCTGGCAATCCGCTTGTTGACACTGCCTAATGATCCTTGGAGCCTCCGCTTCCGGGCCAGACATTGCGGCATTTGGTGGCCTAAACGCGCCGTTAAGTCCCGGCAAAGGTGTCCAGATGGAAGCCGCCGAAAGGAAGCCACTTTGGGCGCCTTCTCCAAAAGCTGAAAGTTCAACAGAGCGTTTGACAGGGCAACATGCATTGCCTCTTTCGAAAAACCAGAAGCTGTCAGCCGACTGGATGAGCTTTCTTCTAGGCCGTAAAAAGCGTTGAGCAGTGACCTTTGAGATTTTTCGGTTCAGCTTGCCGCTTTTTTAGCCCACTTTCTCTGCGGATTTACCAGGGGGAAAACATTTTACAGCGCATAATAAATGAGCCTGGCTGAGCTATCGATATGAAATATGGTCACCGGTCGTCAATTTATCCTTACTCCCACTGGTTATCCCACTTAACTTCTCTTCATGGGTCCGATAAATTGATGGCCTGTATTGACAGTAAAGAATTCGATTGAAGTAAGTTGAAAATCGTGTAAGTAACTAGGGTGATTGCGTGAATGACTGGAACTAATAGATGTCATTAGGCTCAACTAATGTGCCTTCGCTATGCTCAATTTTTAACAGATCAATAAAAAAGGTTTAAAATTTCACCATAGCTAAAAGCATTCTCTAGTGAACTGATAAATCTTTGCCTTAAAGCAAAGCACCATGTCTAACATCCCCAGTAATATTCTCCTTCACCGCAAATAATAGTCGATTTGCTATCGGGAATCAATAGTTCACATGAAGGGGTGTAAACAGCGTTGAGTCGTGCTAATTAGTTTCATTAACACCATGATTCTTGGCGAATGGGTGAAGCAGCCCAAGGCAAATGCAGTACACCAACATAGATACGCAAATAGGACTTATAGATGTAGGCACAAGTTACTGACTGATTTGCGTAAAGTTTAAATCGCTGTTGCAGGCAAACTCACGCTTTACCAGTTTTTGGATCAATAGAAATACGGAGAAACAAACGGAGATTTGTACTGTAAACATCAAATAATTAACATCATCCTTGCTTTTAATTGGCAATCAGCAAAGTTACCAATGTTCAAACTTAAATCTGTATCATCTTATGACTACTTGAAAATGTTAATTAGAGCACGCTTAACTGATTTCACTGCAGGATTAATTTAATGTTACCAAAGATATGTTGCTTACAGGAGCATTTATTTAGACAGAAATGCACGTGACTTCGGATGCATAACCAAACACATGAAAGGCAAGAGCTTTACATATATTAGCCATTTATTAATACAGAAAACTAAAAAGGAATTTTCAACATATTTACAAATATTTCGGTTTAATAGGAAAAATATATAGCAAACAATTTGTAATAATTTCGTGACATATTTTGTATACTACCATGGTTTCATAAACTCAATTGACTCATATATATTTATGCAAATAATTTGAAATTGAAGCGAGACGGAAACTCAGCTGCATTATTTGGTATCCAAATTGTATGCTAATTACACAGATTTTCACCCGATTTGCCGCATGAACTTGCATTTTCCTCGCTGAACAGAATAAATTATTAATAAAAATCATGCAATTTGCTTAATTATATTTGCCCCCGATTTGTTTCCCACCTCTCGTCTAAAAATATTTGTGGATTACCTTTTAGCCCACGAACTGCCGAATTCCTCTTTCGGTATCCCCTTTTGTTTTGCATTTGGAAATTTCCATTTCCATTCGCTGGCCATTACTTAACGAAAATAGCCTGGCTAATGTGCCTGAATGTTGTTATTATTTTTAATTGAATTTCGGTCCAGCGGGAGGTATGTGAAGTTTGGACTTAGAGCGAATGCATTAAAGGTATTTACCTCGTCATTTGGCCAGTAATAATGGCCGGCGAAAAGGCGCAAAACCAGTATAATGGAGCTCCCCAAATTACTATTCGTTGAAATTCAGAATAAATAATCGCATTATCATCAGGCTCAATTACATTTTTGAATATTTGTTGTGAGAATGGAAAACTGGTAAGAAAAACTTAAACTAGGTCCTTCAAAATGGTTTAGTTATCTCCATACATTTTCTTAAGATTTGTTGGAGTTGCGTAAATCAATTGAAATACAAATAAAAAGAAATATTTTGAGGGCTTACTGAACAATTTTGTTGATTTAATTATTACTATCATCTTTGTTAGTTATCCTTTTGATTTGGTATATATATTAGTTTTAACATCTTTGATATATTATATTTAAAATTTATGATTTAAAATACTTTTTAAAGGAATTTAAAAGAACTTATGTTTATTTCATTTCGCTTAGTGTAGTTTCAATTCGCTGCGTTTTGTTTGAATTCACTTAGTTTCTGATACGCCATCTACATTAGAAGGCCAGCAACTGACAACGAAAGATGGCGCCCAATATGTAGACTGCGTTTTGGCGCCACCTAGGTGTCAAAAAGAAGTAAGTAAGACGAAACACCACCAAACGGACAGTTTTTAAATTTTCCGCTTATCTGGCAACATCATTAGTGCTGGGCAATCTAAAAAGTACGCGATTGCAGGTACGAGGAAATCATTTTCATATATTTTTAGCAAGGAAATAGCAAGGAATCTGACGTTATGCAAAACAACTTGCACCAAATTCTTACGTTCCCCAACACTGAAAATTTAAAATAGTGTCTAACGGCCGCTGCTCCCGAATACTGAACTTGGGTATATCTGTTTAAAAATCTGTAAAAAATCGATTTACCAACGGATTGTCGCGATCAATGGCGCATATTCTCCGTTAAGGTTCAGCCTTCAAGAAAACATACCATAGAAAAAATTTTAAGTGCCCTTTTCTTAATCAGGGAGATGTATCTTACCGGAAAACAAAGGTTTCCTAAAAGGCGTATTTCATCAATTTTTTTTTGTAAACTGGTGTTATAATTAAGTGTTGCATGGGTGATTAGAAAAAAATATTTCTGTAACAGTAGTTTGCTTGGAATTAATTTTTTTATTATTTTTAACAATGAAACAATAGTTTTTAATTTTGAAAAAGCGTAAGCAATAATTTCCTACGCTCAATTTGTATATAATGTTGAAAGCTCCTAAGATATCTGCAAACCAACATATTACATTAATATTGACACCCCGGCATCCGAGGCTAATCAAGCCACTTCATTCAAGAAAACAATTGTTAAGGAAGCGAGAAAAAACCGAGAAAGAGGCCAGTAAAACGAGATTCTCACGCCCAAATGGGCCAACAAATAAAAAAAAAGCTCCTCATCGAGTAGTTAGTTCCCCATGGAGTTGCTCTTTCGGCCACTTGCTGCTAATGCGAAACAAACGAAGCGCAGAAATTCGAGGGGAGCTCCATGGACCACACGTCGAGTATAACAATCAATCATACAATTAATAATTCAACATGTAAGGTTTGAAGACGGAAAAGAGAATACCTGGCACGGCTGTCAAAACTACCAGAAAGCCTGAAAACATCGAAATAAATACGTTTAATCAGTGGGAAATTAAATTTAATTAGCGTAGCCCAGAGCGAACGGAAAGAGAAGGAGGCTGACAGCGATATGTTTCCAGGTTTATTTATTTCTAGTTAAATAAATCAATTTAAATTACTAAATTGTCGCCGCGGCGTTGACAGCCAGAAGCTATAAAAAAACAAAAAGACACAAAAAACTGTGGAGTTTAAATCTTACATGTGTGAACCGAGATTTTAATACGCTTCTCGATATTAAAAGTGTTCGATGTCCGATGTTAAATGTTAAAAATAAGCTAAAGTACTGGCGTATTTATAATTATATCTAAGACATATTTATATAATAGTGTAAGGTTAAATTAAAAAAAAAACTATTTTTAAGTATATTATATTTAATTAAATATTAAAGCACTACATTATCAAACCAACCAACTCCCTTCACCGCAAACTCCGAAACTGTCGAGTGTTAAAATTTGTTTTTAATGACAAATAAAAAACGGCGATAATTTCGTGTCAAACACAGAATAGGCGGAGAAGTGGCTGGAAACTGGCATATGCCCCGATACATATTAAATTAATGATGTTTTTAATCAACGCACAATTTGTTAATAATTAAAATAGACATCCCCAACAAGCAGTCGGCAAAGATTCAAGTTTATTTTAATACATGTTTACCAATTTTTTCCGCTCAGCGCATTTCTATGGATAAAAAATCAATAACAAGCCTTTAACTAAAGGCTGTGTTGGGGAACTTTTTCGGTTTTGTTGTGGATAAAGTGTTTTAGTTATATTTTTTTCTGTTTTAGCTTCACGTTGACCTCTGCCAAATGACCGCCGGTAAGCGTTTGTTCTTGATGTTTGTGCCGCTATTAAAACTTATATAGAGGATTTCGGTTTTTAGATTGTTATCGAAAGGGGTGGAATCTAAAACTTAATTAAAATTAATAAAGTTACCTTCTCATTTTATTAAAGCTGCAAGTAAAAAATATATATTATTAATTGATGAGCCAGATTAACCATTGAACACCCTAAACATTTTCAGATTTAGGATCTGAACTTTTATATATCCTTCACCTAACAGTTTTCACCAATTCGAAAATGAAACTAAAATGGATACTGCCCAATATTTTAAGCTAGTTGTGAAAAGTTTGGTCAAACCAAGGATAACAGGTTGACCTCCTTGCACATTCCGTCCATTTGTCTCGGACAAATGAAGGACCCCCGGAATTCGGGTCCCCTTTTCCCCGCCTAAATACCCTTTTAACTTTAGTTGTTGTTGTTGGCCAGATGCTCCTGCGTTTGGCCAAACTTTTGGAGCTGACACTTTTATCGGACTCGTGGCCAAAATGCAGGCAAAGGCATTTTTTCTCTTTCATTTTTTTTTTTGTGGCCCGTTTTGTCAAAAACTTTTGTGTTTGGTAGAGGACGCGTCAGTTTTAATGAATGACG